ACTTCCACACCAGACTTATGTTCCCCAAAAAACTGTTTCTTGGGATTAATGGAGAAATTAGGTAGTTCCATGACAAAGAACAACTGAAGAAATTCATGACCACCAAACCACCTCTATAAAGTGTTCAGAAAGATATGCTAGAAGATGAGGAAGACTACAGTTCCAAGAACAAAAGTAAAAAGAATCCACCAGGCAAACAGGCAAATAAAAAGAGGAGAAAGACAGGGAACTACCAGCAGGAAAAAATATAACAAGGATAAGCTAGTACATATCAATTGTAACCATCAATATAAATGGTTTCAATTCTCCAAAAGAAACAGACTATCAGAATGGAATAGAAAATAAGATCCAACAATATGCTACATAGAAGAAACACATTTAACTCAACAAGAAATTCATAGACTAAAAGTCACAGAAAGGAAAATATTCCATGTGACAGGAGCCCAGAAAAAAGGAGAGATAGCTATTCTATTTGTAGAAAATGGGAATTTCAAGCCATGGTTGATTAAGAAAAACAAAGAAAGTCACTACATCTTTGTAAAGGGAATGAACAATCCAAGGAGAAGAGATAACAATCATATATATGTGCTAAATACCCAACTATATTAAAAAATTAACAGAAATGAAAAATCAAAGAAGCACTAACCCAATTTTAAAGGAGAAGCTCAATACCCTACTGTCACAAATAGATCAACTAGACCAAAAAATCAACAAGGAAATATCATAACTGAACCAAACCTGTGAACAAATAGACACAGTAAATGTCTACAGAGTATTTCACCCCACAGCATCAGAATACACTTTCTTCTCAGCTGCACATGGAAAGTTCTCCAAAATAGACTACATATTAGCCCATAGAACACACAATGAATTGAAATTATCTCATGCATATTATCTGACCATAATCAATGAAATTGGGAATCAATGGCAAAAGAAATCACAAAAACTTCATGAGCACATGCAAATTATATAACACCCTACTGAACAACCAGTGGGTCACAAATGAAATTAAAGAAGAAAATAAATAGTGTCTATAATTAAATGAAAATGCTGATACAACATATCAGAACTTATAGGATGTAATGAAAGCTGTCCTAAGAGAGAAATTTATAGCAGTGAATTCTCATATCATGGAAACAGAATGAACTCATATAAGCAATCTAATGTTCAACATCAAACTTCTAGAAAAAGAAAAATTCAAACCTCATATGAGGGAGAAAATTATAAAGATCAGAGCAGAAATTAATGCAATGGAGACTAAGAAAACAATACAAAAAATCGATGAGTCGAAGAGTTAGTCCTTTGAAAGAGTAAATATAATTAATAAACTTTAGTCAACCTTACCAAAAATGGAAATAAAAACTCAAATTCATGCCGTTAAAAATAAACAAATAAAATCACAATGGATCTTGCAGAAATCAAGATCATCAATATCTACTTCAAGAAACTTTACTCTAAAAGTTGGAAAACAGAAGAAATGGATAGATGCCCTGATACATATGAGTTACCAAAGTTGAATCAAGAAGATAGAAAAATATTAAATAACCCAAATTAGTCGATGAATTTTAAACTGTAATTAAAAACTTACCAATAGAAAAAAGCCCAGATCCTGGCGGATTCACTGCTGAAATCTACAAGCAATTTAGGGAAGATCTCATTACTCCTCAAACTCTTTCATGAAATTGAAAGGGAAACAATACTCCCAAAGTCATTCCGGGAGGCAAGTATTACCTTGATATCACAACCAGAGAAGAACCCAGCAAAAAAGAGAAATGTAGGTCAATCTCCCTAATGAACATAGATACAAAAATCCTCAACAAGATACTAGAAAACAGAATGCATCAAATCATCAAGAATATTATATACCTTGACAAATTAGGCTTCTTCATCCCAGGGATGCAGGGATGGTTCAACTTATGCAAACCAATACATGTAATACACTATATCAACAGAACCAAGGACAGAAAAAATCACATGATCATCTCAATAGATGCAGAAAAAGCCTTTGAAAAAGTCCAACACATATTCATGATAAAAACCCTACAGAAAACCAGAACAGATGGTTTTTATCTCAAGCTGATAAACACCATCTATGACAAATGAATAACCAACATTATACTAAATGATCAAAAATGGAAAGCTTTCACTCTAAAATCAGAAACAAGATAAAGATGTCCACTATTACCACTTCTGTTCAATATAGTTTTGGAAACACCGGCCAACAGCAATAAGAGAAAAAAAAGAAAGAAAAGAAATAAGGATAAGAAAGGAAGAAATTAAATTATCATTATTTGCAGGTGACATGATACTCTACATAGAAGATCCCAAAACTGTACCAAAAGACTTCTAGATTTAATAAACAAATTTGCCAATGAATCTGTACACAAAATCAACACTCAAAAATCAATAGCATTCCTATACATGAATAACAAACTGAATGAGAACGAAATTATGGAAACATTGCTTCTTACAATAGCATTGAAAGAATGAAATACTCAGGAATCAATCTAACAAAGGAAGGAAAAGGTTTCTACATTGAAGATTATAGTTCTGTGAAATAGGAGATCAAAGAGGATATCAGAAAATGACATGATATCTCTTGCTCTTTCACAGGAAGAACAAACATAGTGGAAAATGGCCATATACTCAAAATTGTTACAAGAGTTACACAGATTTAAAGCACTCCCAATAAAAATAATATCAGCATACCTCACAGAGCTAGAAAACCATCCCAAAAACTCATCTGGAGCCTCAAGAGACCTAGAATAGGAAAAACAATTCTGGGCAACAAAGATAAGGCAGGAGCATCACAACCCCTGACTTGATATTGTACTCACAACTACAGTGATTTTTAAAAATACATGGTACTGGCAAAAAAAAAAAAAAAAAAAAAATGACCTGAGGATCAGTGGAATAGATTAGAAGGTGCAAAAACAGCTCCAAACATGCTCAGCCACCTTACCTTGGACAAAGGGGCCAAACATGTTCACTGGATAAAAGGTAGTCTTTTTAATAAATGGTGCTGGGAAAACTGGCCTTCCACATGCTGAAAATTAAAGTAGATCCATGCCTATCACCAAGCACTCAAGTAAAATCAAAATGGATTAAGATGTAAATATCAAAACAGAAACACTAAATCTGTTTGAAGGGAGAATACAACTCTTGAAGGCATAGGCAATGACTTCATAGCAAAATCCCAACTGCACAGGAAATAATACAAAGAATCAACAACCGGGATCTCATCTCATTAAAAAGTTTTGCACAGCAAAAGAAATCACCAACAAGGTGAAAAGACAACCCACAGATTGGGAAAAAATTTTAGACAGTTGTTCCTCAAAGAACTAATATTTAGAACATATAAGGAAATGAAAAAAATCAGATACGCCCCACCAAATTAAAAGGCCCAATACAAAAATGGGCATCTGAGATAAATACACACTTCTCAGTTGAAGAAATACAAACAGCAAATAAATATATGAAAAAATATTCACTGGTCATTTGAGAAATGCAAATTTAAAAAACACTCAGATTCCATCTCACCCCAGAAAGAATGGCTGTTATTAAGAAATCAACCGATAACAAATGCTCAAGGGGCTGTGGGGAAAAAGGAATCCTTCCTTGGTGGGAGTGTAAACTGGGGCAACAGCTGTGGAAATCAGTGTGAAGAGTCCTCAAAAAACTAGGATTAGAGGTCCCGTTTGACCCAGCTATTCCCCGTCTGGGTATCTTCTCCAAAGAATTAAAAGCTTCATACTACAGTAATACATGTGCACCCATTCTTGCAGTGGCACAGTTTGTAGCAGGTAAATTTTGGAAACAACCCAAATGCCCATCAATCAATGAATGGATAAAAAGATGGATTTTTTTTTAATACAATGAAGTACTATTCAGCCATGAAGAAAGGTAAACGAGGCATTTATAGGTAAATGGATGGACCTTGAGCCTATACTCAATTGAAATAAATTGGACACACATGTGTTAATTCTACATTGTCTCTCTGGCATGAGAAACTGAAAGTATAAGTGAAAACCATAATGGATAAAAGGTATTGTGAAGTAGGAAGAAACTGTTCGAAAGGAAAGGGGCATTAGGGTGGTGGAGGGAGAAAAGAAAGGAAGAGAAAAGAAAAAAACAGGCAAAGAAGGATGAAATGGAAACAAAGCTTTGTAAATAAAGGGAGTAAAGGAGCTTAAGGAGGGTAGGGGAATGGGAAAAATAGGACTCAATATATATCATGTACAGGTACAAATTCCCTATGATGAATGTGATCATTCTGTATATCTGAATTGCACCTATAAACTTAATTTTAAAAAAATGAAAGAAATTAAGCCAGGTGAGTAAGCACAGGTCGGCTCTTGTGGGGCCTCTTAATCCGTGATAAGAAAGTAAGATGAGAAGCCGTGGGAAAGAGGGTTTTAGAAGCAAGGAAATTATGTAACCCGATTTATGCGTTTTAAAGGTGGCCTGGGCTGCGGGAGAAGGGAACGGGGATTAGGGAGAGAACAATGACGGTGTTGTTCTGGCCTGGAGGCCAGCACAGCTTGGGCCACCGCGACCGCAGGACAAATGCAATGAACTGGATGATTTGAGATTTATTCAGGATTATGGTGATTTTCAAGGCAGGCCCATGCATATTTTGTTTTGTTTTGTTTTGTTTTGAGCTGAGAAGGTGAGCTAGGTGCAGGCCTGAAGGTGTCGGTGACACCCGGGGACAGGCAGCCCAGGAGGACAGAGGTGGGTCCGAGGGGTTCCAGCCGCGGTCCGGTCCTCGGCGCCCTGCTCCGGTGGCTGCAGCGGTCTGAGCCACTCGGATGAGGATCTTTTGGGCGCACTGCTTTCCCAGGGGCATGTCCTCCAACGCGCTTCACCTGCGCTGCCGGAGCGGTCTTAGGCACCTGTTCTCGCCCTTCTCTCTTTAAAGTTGCAGGGTGCAGAAGGAGACCCTGGGTGGGACCGCGGGCGAGTGGAGCACCCGGAGCGGAGCGGGGCGGGGCGGGGCGGGGCCGCAGAGTCAGGGTCCGCTCGGCGCTGCTGCCGGCTGCGCTCTGTGCCCGCTGCGCTCCCTGTGCCCGCTGCGCCATGGCGAAGCTGCTGCTGCTCACCCTCGTGGGGCTGGCGCTGGCCCTCGTCAGGGACTACCGCTCTTCCTACCAGTAAGTCGGGCCGTCGTGAGGGCGCCCCGCCAGTGCCAGCGCCAGGAGCGCAGCTGTCCCCAAAGCAGGGTCCAGGCAGGTGCTGGATTCACGGGGCGTCCTAGATGTTTGCCCAGTTTCGGTGCCGCTCCAAAACGCGGTGTGAGGGGTGGAAAAAGCAGCTGTCAGAGCTGTGAGGAGCCAAGTTGTCAGCACGCAGACACTGCTGCGTGCGGAGGAGCTGTGTGCGCTGCCTGCAGACCCACTTCTGGGTCTGGCTGAGGAAGCCCAGTAACCGGCCTGGGCCCCTGAGCCCAGTAGTCTAGGGATAGGAAACTCCAGTCTCGGCTGCCTAGCCGTGACACTCACCTTCCAGGGGCGTGGAGGACCTCGATCTGAGGCCTCGCTAGCGGGGACAGAAGACCTGCATGCGACGGCCCAGGTACCAGGAGCAGATGCCCACCGCCCGGTGGGCTGGGGCAGCGAGGAGACAAACGCTGGCGTCTGTGCTTGGTGTCCCACGCTTGGCTTTTCCCTTAAGTGTGGGATCGTGGGCAAACCATTTTTAACTCAAAAACTTAGTGCTAAAAGCAAAACAAAACTGAGTGCTTCATTAAACTAGGAACAGTAATACACACTCATATAGGAAGCACCTAACATGCGGCCTTGGACACAGTAGCTGTGCAGTAAACATTTGCTTCCCTTTAAAATATTGAACCACCTGCTGGGGTGCTGGTGGGGGAGGAGATGTTTCCAGAAAGTATCAGAAGTGTCATGATAACTTTATCAGGGGCTCAAAGTCTAGAGATCATTCTACAAGATTCAGTCGATAATGTTATTTATTCTGAAGTCAAACATTAATACCAATGCAACGTTTTGGAATTTTTTTTTAATTATATGCTCTTATGGTCCAGTTAGCAGCTTCCATTCAGAATAGGGTTTTAACACACTGCTGTGGTTTTTCTCTTGTAACTGCTATTTTGAAATCACAGAATATTAGACAAATATTAGAAAACAAGCAGTTAGTGATTTAGGCTTTTACATGACGGAAGAGTCACTGTGAGTGTTTGTGCAGTACTGTTTGTTGTCAGGAGAGGGACAGAAGATCGATTGGGACAAGGCCTCCTGGAGTAGCCCACCCAGCGAGGAAGGGCGATCAGCCTACTGCCAGGAGGCACAAACACCTTGCTACTGGAAAGGGCCTCTGGGCCGGTAGCAGGAGGAGTATCTAGGTGCTCCCTGGTCATGTACAACCTCAGGTTCCACCAACACTGCTGAACCTGATCAGCATTACTTCACGATTCTGCAGAGGGTTGCTAGGCACCTCTGCAAAGGGCATTCAGACTCTGCCACCACGCAGGTTAGAAACTGAACAAAATGTCCTGGATCAAAAAATAACCTTTATCCCCTTTCCAGAGAGAAGGCATCTGCCTTTCAGGAAGATCATGAGTCTGCCCAAGGGAGAGAAGAGAGGCAAAGCGAGGTCTGACCCGGAGCCTCTGATCTGCAGAGATGGGGCGGATGTGTGTAGAGTTTGCAGAGGAAGTTACTGGGCCCAGGTCGGGAGGAGCTGGGGGAGACTCACAACAGGTGCCTGGAGGGATTTTCTGGGCCTGGGAGTGGAAGCAGCAGCGAGGGAGGGTTGGGAAGGCTTCCCTGAGCCCCACGCCCCCGCCATCCTTGCAGTCATCCGGCCTTGTGTGGTGGCATCTGCTGCATCAGCCCGGGGAAGGTCTGGGACAACAGCATCCTCAGAATGTGGCACAGGGGGCCCTGCAGAGGGGGCCTTCCTAAACTGGCCGTAGTGAGGCCGAACTGCTATGTTTCCGTTTTCTACAAGGAAGGCACAATGCCAGCCCAGTCCTTACCTGCATCTCTACCATCTGCGCCCACTCTCGGCAGCACTTTCTGTGGGAAGAGGGTTGTGGTGGATTCCTGACCGTGCCCTGGCTTAGGTCGCATTGCTACTTTCACGTTATTTTACCACTGTTATGGTTTAGGTTTCTATCTTGACGTCTCCCCAAAGCCTCATAGGTGGGGCTTGGAATATGGGGCATGGTACTTATCACTGGACCACCACTGACGACTTTATAGGTAATCGTGATAATGGGAAGTGAAGCCTGATTGGAGGAGGTGGGTCACTGGGGGCGTGGCCAGGAAGAGTCTGTTCCCTTCCCTCCTCCCGCCATGACTCTCTGCTTCCACCGCCCTGCCGTGGACTGTTTCTCCTCTGTGCCTTGGAGTCAGATAACTCCACAAACTGTGAACCAAATAAACCTTTCCTCCTTTAAGTACCACTTTACTCCAAGAAAGGTTTCAGCTTTCTTCTTTTCCTGAAAACTGAGGGATAATCACACCTACCACCGTAAGACACATGCAAATCTGGCACCTAATAGGTGTCCTATAATTATTTGCTTTGCAATTGACATACGATGTCTCAGAAACTCACTTGACTGTTATCATACCTCACTGAAACCCTAGGCCAAGGATGAATAACCCTCCAAGCCTCAGTTTCCCCAGCCAGGGCCTGCACAGCACCTTCACAGTCTGATGCCTGAGGCTGTAATGCCATAAAACAAGCCGGGGACCTCTGCAGAGCCTCCTCCCTCTGCACACGCCCTGTTCCTTGGGGAAGTCACAGGAATCAGCAGGTACACTGGGCAAAACTGCAGGAGGTCTGGGAGTGTCCTTTCCACAGAGAAGGAGGTAAAGGGCATTCCGGGTGGAGGGGAAATGTGACACAAGGAAAAGAGTCAGGAAAGAGACGCAAGGAAGAGAGACTTTCCCATCATGAAGCCTAACTCCGAATCCCAACGTTACCTTTCTAAAGAAGAGACCACATGGAAATGGCTCAGCCTCTCTGCACCTCGGTTTTCTTACCAAAAGAACAGGGAAAAGGAGAATCTTTGTCTCAAAGGCAGCTAAGGAAGGTTAAATAAAGAAGTGTATGTGAGAGACCTTCGTGTGGAGCCTGGCACATAGTGGGAACACAGTGAATGCACAGTAAAGGCCAACAGAAGCTTGACTGCCGAGGGCGCATGTGGCCCCAAAGTTCCAGAACAGCTTCGGGCTGCACAGCGCTCTCTGCGGCAGGGGGCCAGCATGTGTTTGCACAGAAGCATTCACAGCAAGGTTGCGTGATTTCGGGACAGAGTTCGGAGGCTTGTGACCTGGGAACATATCTCACTGAACCTCATCCCTCAGACCTGAAGTGTTTGAACTTCATCAAGCCCCTGACAAAATACTTCCTGATAATTTGAAGACAGGTAGAAAAATATGCTCTGGATAAAGTAACACAGTATCAAGTGCCTCTTCCAACTGTTCCGCAATGTTATTCATGAATTTTGCCTCGTTAGAACACTTGATGGGAGACTTGCATTCCTATTGGCTTCAATCCCAGCTTAGCACTTTAAACTATGTGGCTTATTCTTAGAAGCCCTCTTAATCTTAGTCATCTGTAATTAGGGTGGAGTTTGGAGGTTAAAAGGAGGTATGCACAGCACCTGAACTGCAGGGTCAATGCCAGCCCATCGAAATATGGCTTGTGTGGGCCATGCATTAGAACTCAAAGCAACTGGGTGCAGACTTAATGCCTTCTTGCCTAGCTGGGCTCCTGTTCATTGTGATTATTCCACCATTTCCAGGTTAGAGATCACCTTGCAGAGAGAGATGCACGAATCAGAATAGGACCCCAGCAGTTTTGCCTTTCTCTGTCCTCTGTGAATAGATCACATTTAATGAGCCCTGTGAGCGAGGCAGTGGACCTTCTGTTTGTGTGGTTTTCAGTGAGGGGGCAGCTAATTTGGCTGTTTGGGGCATTTTTCACAAGTTTTGGCCCATTCATCGGTTTCACATCCTTGACTCCCTTTTTCCGGGCGACTGTTTGCATTGTCTCTAGTTATGATCTTTATTTACCATTAATATCTCATACTTGTCCTTTGACTTTGTTGCTTGCCTGGGGTCTTTCATAATGGTGGATCACAATCCACTTAGTAGCTTATGACCAGTAATTTTTAAAAAATGAAGTAGTATTAAACAGAAAAGATAAGCATACGTCACATGGATTACGGTATTGTTTGTCAATCTATTATTTCTGGTGGGGGTGAGGGTATGTGTGGGGTGTGGGGGGGGGTGTGCATTTGTGCCATTTAAAAAGCTTTTCCTCAAGTGTTTCTCAGTCTGAAAAGTTTATGCACTAAGGCTGTATTGTTTTCCTTTTTCTTTTTGCAGACTTGTGTCATTATTTTTTCTCTTTATTTCTTTTTATTTTAAAAAGAACAAAAATAAACAATAAAAACAATAGTATAAAATTCAAGGAGGCTGGGGATTTAGCTCAGTGGCACAGCACCTGCCTGGCAAGTGCAAGGTCATGAGTTCGATTCCCAGTACTGGAAGAAATACTTTGTACCTCTTATCCATCAAATAATTACACAAGGGTATTATCAGTGACAGAAGCTACATTTAGTATAGTATAAAATTCAAGGAGGCTGGGGATTTAGCTCAGTGGCACAGCACCTGCCTGGCAAGTGCAAGGTCATGAGTTCGATTCCCAGTACTGGAAAAAACACCAATAAAATAAAATAAAATAAAATTTGAAAACAAGACTGTAGGAGAGTAACAATGGTCAGTAGATTATGCATTGTTATTTTGAAAGTAGTTGCTCATAATACAAGATATAAATATGAAAAACTGATCAAGCAATATAAGCATGAGATAATAGCAATTAGTAGTATATCTATTTAACTACCTTGTGTGTGTGTATATATATATTTTTTTCCTTTTCCCTTCCTTCTTTTCTCTTTTCCCCCATTCCAGCTTCTGCTTCCTTTTGAGCATTTTCTTCCCATTTCACAGTATCTGTTGTACATTTTGGGTCTTGTTTACCCTCTCAGCTTCTTACACCAGGGAGATAATACGATATTTACACGTGCGAAGCTGATTTATTTCACTTATGAGTGTGGACTCAGGTCACATCCATTTCCCTATAAAGGTCTCAAGTTATTCTTCTTTACAGCTGAGTCATACTCCATTGTACTTTTGTCATTATGCTATCAGATTTCCACTTTAGTCTACCAGGCCGTGTGGTAGACTCTGTCCCCTTGAAGTCTGCCTTCTAAATTCACACTAATTGTCCCAAAAGCCACAATCTCCTTCCAGACCAAACCTGTCTCCCCTCGTGTTTATCTCTCTATCTCTGATTCTCTGCTCTGACTGTCCACTGGGACAATGGAGTTGCTTCTGCAAAACAGATCTCCAGGCCAGCCCCGCTGAGACAGTGGAATTTCTGAATGAATGAAAGCTCAATGATTAAATCATTAAATTTGTAGCATGTCAGTAAGGACTGCATGCAGTGTCTGTTTACCTCTAGCCCATCCTCCTCTTTCGGTGACAGTAAATCTCCAAGAAGGCAAGTGAAGAATCTCTCAGCCTGTGTTTAGGAAGTACGATTCCTGGGTATTTTTGGAAATATATAATTTTTTCTAGAAATTATATTTACTGTTTTGGTCTCTCTGCTAAACTGTGATCTGTTTTTGTTTTGTTTTGTTTTGTTTTGTTTTTTTCAAATGCCTCATCTTAGCTGTGGTCAGGCAGCCTGCTGGTACCTCCTTCTCACATTTGTTCCTTTTTCCTTTGTTCTTCATCCAAAAACTCCTCCATGATGTTTATGTTCTCAGATTTAATAAGTTGTGTGTATGTATTGTGTGGGTGTGTGTGTGTGTGTACAGGTTCATCTGGGCATGCACATTTAGGTAATACTTTTGTATAGGCTGACTTTGGCTATGTTTTTCTGAAGTTTCAAATCCTTTCAGTGCATGTGCATGTATAAGGATTACACCTAAAAGTAGATGTCCAGGCCGGACTGTGGAACCAGTCTGGCAAGATGATAGGAGGCCCATCTGTCAGTAACTGTAAAACATTAAGGTGCTAAATTGGAACCATGTGGCCATTTAACTCAGCTTTCCAGATAAGAGTCTCCACATGAGTGACGAAACAGTTCCTACCCCTGCCAAAGTGCACAGAGCACGCAGAGGACACTATGTGTCTCTTTTGTGTCTCTGTCCACCTCTGCACACAGCAGTGCTTGCACAACTCGATGTCACACTCCAAGGTCCCTACTGGCCTTGCTCTGTCCTTGCCTCATAGCATTACAGGTACCAGGGCCACTGACTCTAGGCTTATAATCCAGGTAAAGTACAGTTAAGGGAAATGTGCGGACTGCTTTACCTTTGCAACCTAATTCTAATTTCTCAACAGCGTATGTGTGTGTCATTTTCCCTTCTAGAAAACGAATGAATGCTTTCCGTGAAGTAACGCCAGTGGAACTTCCTAACTGTCATTTTGTCAAGGGAATAGGTACGTATGAGAGGGGGAATTCTCTCACTCGAACTGCCAGTGTGTGATCCTACTATGTATCTCGTAAGTACTGTGTTCAAAAACACAACATAGAGGCAGGAGAGTATTATTAAGTCAAAAGTTAATTATAAATATATAGTTTGACTTTTGACTTCACCAAGATATTGACAATGCATTGGCAGTTTTGATCATTTTGTGTTTTGTCAGTAGTGCAAAAGCAATAGTCAGAACACGTCTTGATTTTACAGTAATATAACCAGGAGATGGCAAAAGGCTCAAAAAAGAGGGAGGTGAAGTATCCAGGAAAGAATCTATTAAAGAAAAAAAAAAAAGCTCTTACAGCTCTTGTGCAATTACCACAAGATCTGTGCTCATGAGGGTTGCAGAGGAACGTTTTTCCCAGAAGCTCTCAGTGGAGTTCCACTTAGATCTCATTAGTCAGACCTGGAGGACAGACTGGTATCCTAGCTGCAAGGGAAGCTGTGAAAGTCAGTATGGGCTCCTCTGTGGGAGGCCAGCCCTGTCAGCGAGGATGTCAGGGCAGAAGAATTGCAGCTTTTGACAACCAACGGACAGTGACACAAGGTTCAATTCCCCATTGAGTTTCAACCAACCAGCCTTGTTATTTGAGGACAACTTGTTTGAGATATGTGCTCTTAATACGTGTTGGTTGGGGAGTGTTTTTGTTTTTAGAATTACTTCTCAGTTGACTACAGTTCAGGAGGCAAGAGCAGAAGACTCATCCAGTCATTCTATGACCAGAATTATTTGAAAAGGATACATCTCCAGTAAGAGTATGAATACAAAACCAAATAGTCCATTTACCTCTAGCTTAATTGAAATTTTTAAAAAGTATGTACATTTAAAGTATAACTAACTTGAAAGAGTGATATTTTGTTGATACTTCTAAGTGATAGTAAATGCGTTTTCTCAGTCATCCAAAATGTATCCACATTTTCACTGAAGCATTTAGAATTTGCTTATATTTCTAATCTGGTTTTCAAAGTGTTCTACTTGGAACTCTTAAACATCAATGTACATTTACAGTTTACTCTGCATCTTTAGAAAAACAGCCTTGCATGTCTATCATTGTGTTCCCTACAACAACCATTGAGAAAAGTTAATGATTATTCAATAGGTCACTCATGTATAGCTCTATTTATTTTCTTTAGAAGCCACTTTGAAGATACCAAAGTATAGTACAACAGCTATTGATAATCTCCTACCTCTTCTGTCTGTAACTCACTATTATTTGTCCATTTGTTTTCCTGAGAAACTATCTTGTAGATAATAATATGTGAAACAATAACCATTGATAATTTCCTACTACTTTGTCTGTAATTTGGTAAGCCCCCCCTATTATTATGTTACCCTTCTTTTACTCTTTAAAATTAAAAAAAAAAGAGAGAGAGAGAGAAACCGCAGCCTCTTTTCAAGTGATTGCACCTTTTGTGCATTTTGTATATTTCCATAGACTTATCAATTATCAGACTAAGAAAAGGCTCACGTCCACCAGCTTGAAACAAATATATTAAATATAAATTTTAACTACACTTAACGATATTAATATATTTAAAATTTCCATATAATCACATCAATCAATTTGAATAAATGAGGGGATAAATGACTCTGAACTTATCAAAGAAGAGTCCTATTTTCAAGTTAGGGGTGATAATAAAGGACTCTCCAGCTTCCTACAAAAATGGCCGACAATCTGTACTTTCTTCTACAGACTCGGGTGCTGAGGACTTGGAGATATTGCCAAATGGGCTGGCTTTCATTAGTGCTGTGAGTGTTTTCTCTGAGGGATTTTGCTCTAGAACACTTTTTGGAACTGGCAGTTTAAATCTTGTTCCTAACGCTTCTGTATACTAATGCCCACTTAAAATAAAGTGGGCAGTCATGTGCCTTCCTGGTGGGCTGGTAGCTGTGTCACCTCCATTCTTGCTGCAGGTGAGGGGAGGGTTTGTGTGGGGATCTGCAGGGGCAGGTGGCTTTCAGCATCTCCTGTAGCCCTGTGACCAGCCCTGCGTGCACCCACTCCCACCGACCTCCTCTCTCAGCATTTGAAGTGGTTGCGTCGAGCCTGCCTTTTCTTCTTCTGCCTTCAAGGGATTAAAATACCCTGGAATAAAGAGCTTTGAACCTGATAAGCCAGGAAAAATACTCCTGATGGACCTGAACGACGATAATCCAGCAGTGTCAGAGCTGAACATCGTAGGAAATAAATTGGATTCAGCTTCCTTTAACCCTCACGGGATTAGCACTTTCACAGATGCAGGTAACAGTATTTACTGTTTACTAAAATGCAATGGCAGACTAAAAAAAAGAAACAGAAAACTGTGCCAATGAGTGGACATTGCATCTCAGCCAACCAAAGCATAAAATAAATAATGTTCTTCTTTTGAATTCTAAATTTTACTCCCTCTGTTAACTAAGTATAATATTTAACCAATCTAAATGTGTGAGACTGATAAATACTTAAGGTTTGTAAAGCTTCTGATTTTATAAAACACCAACATTCACATTTTTTTTTACCAACATTCACATTATCTCCATCATTACCATGATAATATTCATCCGTACTCAATATAGATCTTCCTTTTTAATCAACTTGAAAGAGTCAGGCATTCACAGGAATAAATGTTTCTGACCTAAGTGCTCTGTGACCTATACGGCCAGAGACAGGAAGTCACTAAGGTCTATGTAGGCGTGATTATGCACACCCATAATCCCAACACTGGGGAGGCTGAGGCCGGAGGATGGAGAATTGAAGGCCAGCCTGAATTGCATAGCTCTGTCTCAAAAGAAAGCAAAACAATAAAGAAAGGAAATGTAAGGAAGTCATGGACAGCATTAGCTTACTCTGCTGCTCGGGCAAAACCGCCTCATTTTGATACATTTGATACCTGTCGCTCACATCCTTCACGCTTTCATCCCAGGTTTCTTTCTATGTGCTGTTATTTTCTTATTCCCTAAGTTAATTTCCAAGCTCAGTTGCTCCCAGAAACACTTAGGAGTTTGAAAAATCCCAGTACCCCGTGATTCTGATTACTGTGGTCTGAGCAAGGCCTAGGCAACAGCACTTGTTCAAAGTTCAGGTATACTTGTCCAGAAAAAAATGTGCCAGTGACAAAAGCTTCGATGCCCATTACTCCCTTCCTTATCAGAGGCCCCCCGTTCAGTCCCTTCCCAGCTGTCCCTACTGTGGGGAGTGAAAATTGCTGCCTGGTGTTACTCACAAGCACGCTTTCCCCTTTTCCTCCCTTTCTTTCTCCTTCCCTTCTCTACCCCTGTCTCCCTCCTTTCCTCCCTCCCTTCCACCTCATCTTGCTGTTGATCCCTTTCTCCTTCAAGAAAAGTCTCCTCTCTGATGTCCAATTCATTCATCTGTCCTGGTTCCGACCCAACCGCCGCTGTCCTCCCCTGCTTGAGCTTCTGTCACTCACTGACAGCTTTTGGAGCCTTCTCTCTGAGGTTCGACTCAACCTTTTACTGCCTCTTTATTCTATTTCAGAAATTTCAAGTCAGTGTCACTGTGCCTATATTCTAGAACATTCCCAAATGTGAATCACTGGTACTATTATTATTATTTCCTCATTGGCCCTTCAGTTCCAGGACTGAAGTTGCTTCTTTTAATGGTCTTCTATCCATTCACTCATTCATCATTATATTTTATCTTAAAAACATTTTCAAGTGCAAAGAAATAGAGTGGTTGGTATGTGTACATTTTTCATGATAAAAGGAGGTGGTATAAAAACTCTTCTATCAGTTGCTGTGGCTTTAAAAACTACATCAAGGAGCCCTTTGTGCAACCGTGCCTTTGGACTCACTTTGCAATGGCCGTCATGGATTCCGCTGTGTGACAGGACCTGAATATAGTTCATCTGCTCATAGATTCTGAGGTTTTGATCACTTTTATACTCATTACAGTGCCAAAACACTTTTGAATATGGATCGTCTGAATTTCCTCTGAATAAATTTCTAGAATTAGAAGCTACTGCACAAAGTGTAAATCAGGCTTGCATTCCCACTGTGTTTAACTTCTTTTTTAAATGTTTGATTTTATTGGCACATGTTTGCAGCATATGCAATTTACAGTCATCTTGGGGAGTGGTCCATGTGCACACCACAGCACGTTGCTTCATGAGTCCCCTTCCGCTTCCCTCCATCTCTCTCCCTCCTCCAGCTCGCCTATCCCACTTTCATTCTTGTTGATATTATGAAGCTTAGCTCATGTTGTGGCATAAATGTTGACATTAATTGAGGTTATTAGGTTCCTATACATGGTACATTTTTATACTACTTATTTCCCTTCCCCTCCTCCTCAGCCCTCACCCTTGTTCCCTTGCACCACTTCCCTATTGCAAGAGATCCATCTCCTTGCCTTCTTCTATCCATACTTACTATTCTCTTTGTTTGTACTTTGCTTCATTCAAATGAGAGATACCATATGGTTTTTAAACTTGTGTGTCTGATTTATTTCACTCAACATTGTATTTTCCAGGTGCATTCATTTTTCTACAAATGTCTCACATCTGTCCTTCTTTATAGTAGAGTAGTATTCCATTATATATAGATACCATATTTTCTTTATCCAGTCTGTTGATGGGTATACAGTCTGTTTCCAGGTTTTAGGTATCATGAGTTATGCTGCTATAAACGTTAGTATGCAAGTATTGCTGTAGTGTGATGTAGATGATGTCTTCTTTGGAGAAGATCTCTAGCAAGGGGGATCTCTGGGTCATACAGAATTTCTAATTTCAGTTCTTTGAGAAATTTCCATACTGGTTTCCATGACAGTTGTACTAGTTTACATTTCCACCAACAATAAAGGAGGGTTCCTTTTCACCACAGCTATGCCAGCATTTCTTACTCTTTAATTTTTTAATGATTGCCATTCTTTCTAGAGTAAGATGAAATCTTAGTGTTATTTTAATTTGTGTTTCTCTAATGGCCAGAAATGTTGAGAATTTCTTCCTATATTTGTTGACCATTTGTATTTCTTCCTCTGTGAAGTGTCCGTTCATTCCTCCTGGCCATTTTTTGACTGGATCTTTAATTTTAGATGATGTAATTGTTTGAGTTCTTTGTATATTCTAGCTATTAGTCCTCTAAGGAGTAGCTGAAAACATTTTCCCATTCTGTAGGTTGTCTATTCACTCTACTGATTGATTCTTTTTCTGTTCAGAAGCTTTTTAGTCTGATAGAATCCTATTTGTTGATTGTTATTTCTTGTGCAATTGAGGTTCCGCTTAGAAAATATTTTCCTACACCTAGATCTTCAAGTGTTTTACCTATTTTATCTTCCAGGAGGTTTAATGTTTCTTTTTTAATGTTTAGGTCTTTGATGCATTTTGATTTTAATGTAGTATATGGTGAGAGATAAGAGTTCAGTTTCAGTCTTCTGCGTACAGATAACCAGTTTTCCTAGCATTACTTATTGAATAGGCTATCTTTCCTCCAATATATGCTTTTGCCCCTTTTGTTAAAGATCAAATACTTGAACGTGTCTTGGGAAGTTTCTGTGTCCTCAGTTCTGTTCCATTGGTCCATGTCTTTTTTTGTTTCAGTATCATGCCGTTTTTATCACTACTGCTTTGTAGGCTAGCTTGAAGTGAGGTATTGCTATGTTGTCTACTTTGCTCTTATTGCCCAGAATTGCTATCTGTGTCACTTCTGGTTCCATATGAACTTTAGGACTATTTTCTCTACATCTGTAAAGCATGTTGTTGGTATTTTGACTGAGATCGCTTTAAATCTGCATAACAATTTTGGGAGTATGACCATTTTGACAATATTGATTCTGCCTCCTGCAGGGGGCATCTTTCCATTTTCTCATGTCCTCTTTAAGTCCCTTTTTCAGAATACTGTAGTTTCCTTTGTAGAGATCCTTCACTTCTTTGGTTAGGTTAATTCCTAGATATTTCATTTTTCTTGAAGCTGCTATGAATGGTATTGTTTCATAATTTCCTTCTCATCCTATTCATTGTTGGTGTACACAAATGCTAATGATTTCTGTGTGTTGATCTTGTATCCTGCTGCATTGCTGAAGGTTATTATTAATTCTAAGAGGTTTGGGTGGAGTTCTTTGGGTCTTCTATGCAGAATATTAAGTCATCTCTAAATAGTAATAATTTTAATTCTTCCTCCCCTATATGTATCCCTTTTTTCTCTTTCTCTTGCCTAATTGCTGTGGCTAATGTTTCAAGTACTATGTTGAGTGGAAGTGGTGATAGTGGACATCCTTGTCTTGCTCCTGCTTTTAGGGGAAATGCTTTTAGTTTTTCCCCATTTAGTACGATGCTGAGTATTGGTTTGTCATACAGAGTTTTTATCATATTCAGGTATGGTTCTTCTGTGCCTGTTTTCTACAGAGTTTTTATCATGAACAGGTGTTGGATTTATCAAAAGCCTTTTCTACATCTATTAACATAAACATATGGTTTTTGACCTTGCTTTTGTTTATGTTGCATTACGTTTATTGACTTATGTGTGTTGAACCATCCTTGCATCTCTGGAATGAAACCTACTTAATCATGATGTATGATCTTTTTGATAATGTGCTGCATCCTATTTGCTAATATCTTACTGAGGACTTTTGCATCTGTGTTCATTAAGGAGACTGGACTATAGTTTCCTTTTTTTAGATGGGTCTTTACCCAGTTTTGGGATCAGAGTGATACTGGCTTTCATGAATGAGTTTGGGAGTACACCATTACTAAATAAATCAAGAAACATACCAAAACCCACAAGATGTCCAATGGGAAGACAGATTAAATACTCCAGTGATACACTGAATATGTGATTCCCCAAGTACCTTCTTTGCTAGAGTTTCAGTGTTCACACACCAGTAACTCCTCTGATCCCTCCAGTGCTCTACTGATGCTAATTTAGAATCAGTACTTCTTTCTGCCCCCAAGTTGTAGGTATTCTTGCAGACACTGATCCAGTTTAGGTTCTTGAGTTAGAAACTCTTGCTGTCCCTCTCCCTGGGTGTGATGGTGGATTTGGCAGACAAGTTCATTGGCACAAAATTATCCACTGAGTAGGAATTATTGCTATGTAATCAAATCAGCTACAGCAGTAACAGGCTAATCTCAGGGCTAGCTGAGAAATAACCTACCATGAGACCCCATTTTCGGTCTCTCTTTAGCCTAGAGAAGAAATCTACAGTTACAGTATAAGCATCTTGACAACCCAAGTATTTATCCACAGTTACTGTGCACTAAATGTGATGGCTGTGTCTCTTCTACTGGTGGAAAACAGCATTCAGCAGTAATTTTATAGAATCAGTTGTCTAAAGCCCAGAGGCTTGCAGGTGGGATAATGCCAGAGTGGGGAAGGAAAGAAAAACGAAACAAAAAGAGTTCTTTTAGGTCCTCTGCTCTGGGGTATGGGAAGGAGGAAATATGAGGGAGGCAAAGGCCCCTAATGATGGTAAAGGGTATGTTACGTATCTAGAGGGAGATAATTGGGAAAACCAGGTACAAAATTGGTAGTGACCAATGCAGATAGGGAAAGATTCTATGAGTGATACAAATATTAGAGAAGTTAAAGGGAAATGAATGCAAGGAAAGAGAGGAAAGAAAAGACCAGCTGAGAATGAATAAGATACAGGAGAAAGGGGCTGGGGATTTAGTTCAGCGGCACAGTGCCTGCCTGGTAAGTGCAAGGTTGTGAGTTCGATTCCTGGTACCAGAAGAAAAACAAAACAAAACAAAAGATACAGGAGAAAGAGGTCAGGTGAGATCTGGATAAAAGTGGGAGGGATGTAAAGGGAGAATTCCCTTGGCCTCTATAAACCGCATTGGGAGGAAGAAAGCAAAGGGAAGAGAAACACATACCCAGACAGAAAAGAAAAAAAGGTAAAATAATGGAATAAAAATGTGGGGGAATCTATACAGAAGGGGAAAACAGCAAAGAATTTTTTTTAAAAAGTAAAAAATAAAAGTGAAAAAATGGTACAATCAAATAAATAGTAAAAAAAAAAAAAAAAGTTCTTGTTGTTTGAGACACATGGCTCTTTTCCCCTGCCCAGGCTTAAGGAGCAGAGCTCGGGCAGGACAGATCTCTGTGGGCGCTGGAGGTCTCAGGTGCCGTCCGCCCCCAGCACCGCGCGGTGCCTAGAGCTCTGCTCACAGTGGGAACAGGCGCCTACCTGAGCTTCCGGTCCTGTGCAGCTCAGGCTGAACCTGGCCTCCGACCTGGGAGCCTGGTCTGTGCTCACCAGCCCCTGCCTCTCAGCGGGACTCCCCTAGTCTGTGCTCCGCCTGCTAGCAGCCTCCAGTGACTGTCCTTCCCTCATCCACTCTGGGAACTTGGGTGTGAAGCAGCCCAGGGGCTGCTCTGAGCCCAGGTTCAAACCCTCAGCCCTTCCCTACAATGGCATTCCCTCCACGGTTGTAGCTGTGACCGCTTGTACCAAAGTCACTCACCAACTGCCGAGTGTAGAAGCTGCTCTGGAAGCAGCGTCCCGCACTTTCCTGGTTGGCTCCAACTGCAGGTGATTCTTTCGGTCTAGTTGCAGTTCTCTGGTTCTCCATGAGCAAATTGTTAATTTCGCTTTGGCTCCCAGGTGATGGCTAGCCAGCCACTGTTGGTGACACTACGTAGTCTCTCCTCTGAGGTTTGATCTATTTTTCCTGTATCACTTAATTCTATCTTCTTCTCCTCTGTCAGTTCCCTCGTGGTTCCTGGATAACCTCCACTCACTTCAGTTTCTCTCCAAACTGCTGTTTTCCAAACACTAGATGCTATGTCCTGGAGAAGCTGAGTTGCTGGCACTCACTGCTCCACCATTTTGAAGCTCACTTCCAGGCACTCTCTTCTCCGCCATTTTGGTACTCCATTTTGGGATTCTACTTTGAGACTCCATTTTGGGACTCCAAAACACCATTTTGTATTTAACTCCTGACTCATTCATTCCTCAGCCATCGCCAGAATCTTTCAATACTTCCTGTCCAGTGCCTATCATGTCCTTTGTTATCAGTATCATCCCTCCCATCCTGTCCTTCTCCCTCTATCAGGTTTCATTTTTCCTTAAGCACTTAACACCAACTAAAATAAACTTGTAGGTGCATCAAAACCATCTTAACTGGCTTCTCTGTTTAAGCTTCTTCAGTTCAATCCACTGTACATCTATCTCATCATTTGCCTTCGAACACCAATTTGATCACGTCAGAAGTTCCCAAAGACTTACTGCTTTTAAGGCAGAGACTATTGTCCTGTATCACCTGCTAAGCTCTGATCACACCTTTTTGACCTCTGAGACCGATTTTCTTTGTGTCCTAAAGTCCCATTAACCTATGGAAGCTGCTTCCACTTGCTGCTCTTCAGACGTTCTTATGGAGTCTGTCATGTGATACCACATAAATTATACCTGCACTTCTTTCTATCAGCAGTTTCCACATCTTTTTTTTTTTTTTTTTTTTTGGTTTTTCTCCAGTACTGGGAACCGAACTCATGACCTTGCGCTTGCTAGGCAGGCGCTTTGCCGCTGAGCTAAATCCCCAGCCCCAGTTTCCACATCTTTATCCCTTTTATCTGAACCCTGTGTGCTGTGGAGACCATTTGAACTACAAAGCCTCATCAGCCCTACGACATTAGTCTGAGTGACACTTCGTCGAAAGTTGATATTTTTCCTCCCGTGGAGTTTTGAGTTTTTAGATCTGTCACCCGTTCTTTAGCCACTTTTCTTTGGCTCAATCACAAATGCTTCTCTGTACAAAGAGATGAAAATATTCCATCTGCCTGACATGCTAAGTACTCGTTGGAGGTGGGTTGAAATTGCTTTTTGGAGACAGAGCTGACAGCTAAGAGCTCAGTTAATGTTTCAATTTTTGTTTTTAATCTCCTCTCAGATAATACTGTGTACCTGCTAGTGGTAAACCATCCAGATTTCAAGTCTACAGTGGAACTGTTTAAATTTCAAGAAGAAGAAAAATCACTTTTGCACCTGAAAACCATTAGACACAAGCTTCTGTCGAGGTACTGGGGTAGAGCGTATTTCTTTTTTCCTTCAGCAGCAGTGGACGTTTTTACCCATGTTTAGCTTTTCATTTTGCACAGCGCAGGTTCAGCACTCCTTTCTGATGATCATAAACTCCTAGAAAGGTTCTTAAGCAAACTCCTGAGGACATGGACCTCAGAGAAGGCCCATTCTCCGCCTTGTGTCTGAGGCCAGTCGGATGCCAGTTCATTGCTACTGAACCCAGAATCTTCAAGCACACTTTTACTAAGAAAATGCTTGGCTCCAAGACCAGACTTAGTAATTCAAACATAAACAGTGTTCATAGATGAGATCCACATTTTGAGCTTATTTACTTATTTTTATGTATATTAAATGATAGATGTTGCTGTAATTTCGTAGCATATATCCAAAATGAATGAAACCCCAGTGTATCTAAGTCCTCCCTGTACTCTTTCCTGCTGCTAGGTTGTAATAATTTATATGACAGCAGATTTTGGAAAGCACTTAGTTACATACTAGACTCCTTGACATTAGGACCTATGGGGAAAGAAAACCCCCAGGGCCTGTAATCCTGGTCAACCTAAAACAAAGTCAACTTCCTCACTCACCCTATGAAGATTTAGTTTATGGGACTGATGATGGATTTAGGAATATAATCTGACATCATCTTCTAAAATATTTACCTCCTCATTATAACTTGCTGGAATCCCAAGCTCTATCATTTAAGGACAGCATTCAAACATCCCCATATTTTTCAATCTAGATTTACCCCCTTTGCAGGAATCTAGCAATGTATGTGACATATGGTACACCCACCCTCTGTCACCTTTGCCCCCTCTTTCCTTTCTTATCTGTGGTTCTGAAGATTGGAGAGAAATTGAGTTACTGGATCAAGGTCAACCCATTCATTAGTGGACAGGTAGGAAGTAACATGCAGGCCTTCTGCACCCCAAGGATGAGTGAAAGTTTAGAGAACAGATTGGGGTAGAAGAGTTTATTCATACACTCAGCAAATGTACTCTAGAGCAAGAATGAGGTCACTGAGTGCTTGAAGAACTTAAAGAATACTAAGATCTAAAATAGGGCAAAATATGTAGAATAGAGAAGCTGGACTGCTGCTGCTACTGCTGCTGCTGCTGCTGCTGCTACTGATGATGATGATGATGATGTGATGCTGATGCTGATACTGATGATGATGATGATGATGTGATGCTGATGCTGATACTGATGCTGATGCTGATGCTGATGGTAGTAGTAATAGCTGTTGTTGATGAGCTTTGGTTCTAAATCAGTGGCTGTACTAGCCAATTTAAACAGATTCTTTTTATGACTTTTTGCAGATGCCTTCTTAATTAGGTGTTACTTTTATACCCACTGTGGATTTTTAAAAATTTGAAGTCCAGAGTATTTGTTAAGCTGCCTCAGATGACACCTTTAGTAAATGGTGTAGCTAGGATTTTTTAGTAAATGGTGTAGTAAATGGTGTAGCTAGGATTTTTAATCCTGGAAGCTTGAGTCCAGAGTGAAAATTTATTTTATCTTTTCCACCATTTAATCTTGGAACCCTGAGTTGTGTCCAATTTCCCAGACCTGGAGTATTTTTTTCAGGGCAAGTTACAAAAATATTGATCTTTAGCAGCATAGGACCAGGTTAAAAGTAACCATAGTGCCACAAATAATAAGAATGTGTCTTTCTTGACCCAAGAATTAGCCACTTGTATTTTGTTTTGTTTTGGAATTAATGGTTGTTTATTTCATTAATATTTCAATGACTACATTTATTATAATTCAGGTACGTTACTATTAATTTTATCACTAGCACTGGCATAGGTCATTGGTTGTATGCCAGGCATGGTGCCGAGGTCTTCCTACACAGGATTTCATCTCCTTCTTACCCCAGTCTTTCAAAGTCTAGAGAGAAAACTGCAGTTCAGAGAAGTGGCTCCAAGTTTAGTGACATGCTGTGGCCCCATGGTGTGACAGTAATAGCAGTGTCAGGATTCAAAGGGAACCCATCATATTTCAGAGCTATAGCTCTGAACCATTCCACTCTGCTCCATTTTTAATAAAAAACAGGCAAATGATAGTGAAACATACACATTTCAGAAATGTGCTTTTGGAAAAGAAAGTAAAACTATTGCATAGGTCTATGTCTTGAGCCTGTATAGACTAATCATCGGTCCTTAGACCATTTTTCATGTAGTAATCATGGCTTCCACTGGTTGAGGATCGAATGTCAGGGCTCCCTGAAAAGCAGACAGCAGGCATTGCCTCACTGTAACTCCTGCAGCAACTCTGCAAATTAAGATTCTGACCCTTGGCCCTTCACTAATGAGCTGTGTAACATTGGGAAATCCATTTAACCTCTCTTTGCAGATGAGAAAACTGAGGCTCTGCGTGTTTCTCTCTTTCTTGCCCAAGAGTCCAGAGCTGCGTCAGAGCTGATGCGCTGCCCGTTCCGCACTGTGCAGCAGAGAAAAGATAATTTTCCCTCAGATCATGGCCCCGGGGAACTTCCATCACCTCAATCAGCAAGGAATGACTCACTTATGTGTTTGCTATTGTACCTATTAAAGCAGAAAAATAGACCCATATATCTTACACTTTCAGTAACACAGAGAGAATCCTGATAGGAGAGAGAAAAGGCCAGGCAATCTATTTTGGGACACTCTTGTTCATGGACATCTTATTCAGTTTAGAATCACAAAATTTTAAGGCTGGGAGATGAACCAGTCTATCACCCTCTTTTCACAGACAGGGAAACTGAGACCCTGAGATGTGAGGGGGTTGAGTTCCCCAAGATCACACCGTTAATAGTAGCAAAGCTTTAAATAAAATACAAGTCTCCAAGCTGCCAGTTCGATGTTTTTCCCACTGCCTTCTGCATTAGGTTGACAGGAGTCAGTTTCCTGTGAGCACCTTGATCTGACTACTTGCCTCCTATATTGGCTAAAGAATTTAGGGTTTCTACATATACACGTGTTCATGTATGCACACGCACAAACACACACGCACACACCATTACACCATAACACTCCTTTTAAGACATAGCCAATAGAATTGTTGCGTTACACTGCTATAATCACTCTTAGGATTTCTTATCATCTTTGAGGATTGGCTAGACAGAGCTGGTTTCGTATTACTTCTATGCCTTCATCGTTAGTATAAAGACTCCAACCCAATCCTGATTTTTGGATTAGATGGGGATAAAAGCCAACTCATAGTCCTGTGATGTACAGTACCCTCACCTATATATTTTGTGTGTGTTTTAATTGTAGTGTGAATGATATTGTTGCCGTAGGGCCAGAACACTTTTATGCCACAAATGATCACTATTTTGCTGAGCCATATTTCCGATCCTGGGAGCTGTACTTGGGTTTAGCGTGGTCGTATGTTACTTACTACAGTCCAGAGGCTGTTCAAGTGGTGGCAGACGGATTTGATTTTGCAAATGGAATCAGCATCTCACCTGATGGCAAGTATGTATGCTCTTTAAAATGTAATGGATTTATGCAGGCTCTGGGTAGATAGCTTTAGAACATGGCTCTTTTCTAAGTAATGTAGTATACTTTAATATGTAATCTTAGAAAGACAAAATTAGGAAAAATGTAAAAATCTTAATTTTTCAAAGAGTAAGATTGATCAGTTCCAATGTTTGTTTTTTGTGACGTTATCCTGTGTTTTCATTTGAGGAAAAAAATGTTTCAAGAGGAAAAATTATAACAAACATTTAGTATTGTCAAACAGATTTGTTTTGAAGGAAGATTTTTGGGTATATAATGAGATTAGTAGCATCTATCTATCTATCCTCTATCTACAGTATTGGTCTATGTCAAGATAAGGAGCATCTCTACTGGTCTATTGAAAGGAACAGCTAATGCTTACTTTTTTTCTTTTTCTTTTTTTGACCAATTTTGCATGCTTATATCTGGTAATCTGAACAACTAATTTAAAGACAACAATATGCAATATAACAGCCACTGTTGAATGCCTCTCATCTTGTTTAGTGAAATTCTGTGTTGTTTCTAATGTTTTTTATTATTTTTATTCTCTTTAAAAAATTTAAAAAATTTTTAAAAATAACTAAAGAAGAAGATAAGGAACATGTATCAAAATGTAAATCAAAGCACTCTTCCACTAAGAAAATCTTACTGTGAAAATAAGAGTCAGTTTCACTCAGCAGTAAAGTGATGTAGTTGATTTATTATCTGTTACCTGTCTGAGGTCTAGGAACTACACTTTGGGTGGCACCTTACACATAAGAGATCTATACGCCCATCCGCCCATCCTCTTCCTCAACTCCTATCATCAAGGATTTCAGAGCCGTAGTGATGTACACTTAAAACAATCAAATATACAGCTTTCAATTCTTCATATTGGCCCCTGCTCTGTGAAAATAAGAGAGTCAGGCCATCACTTCTCCTCTGGTCAGGGATGCAGTGCGTACCATAGGCATCTTCATGGTGTATGGTATTGCATCCTGTACAAAATAGTAAATCCACAGGGCTGGGCCTAAGCTCAGGACAGGAGGGGAAGAAGACTTCTCTTGTTCCAAGCCAAGCACTTGATCTCTTGTATTTTCTCTAGGCTAAAGCAAGGGACTGTTGTCAAGAGCCATTCCTGCAGCCCCCTCAGGGAGAGTGCACTGTCCTCTGGGGCACAGAAGCAGGGTCTTGACACTGTATCGACAAAGCAAGATACAAAGTGCTGGTGTTGGGGCTAAGTTTCTTCCCTACTGGTGGGATAAGCAGATTCCCACCATCAGGAATAACTTTTCGGCAATTAAACCCCTTTGGTTTGCAAACTCATCAAGCTCTTGCAGAAACTAGTGTGCTTTGAGAGGGGTTCCAGTTTTCAGGGTCCAACCAAAGTTCCTCCATTGGAAGAGTTATCACAACTCCCTGTCACCTCTTGAACTGCGTTACTTCCAGCACTTTGATGTCGCTCTTGCTTCTTTGAAGGTATGTCTATATAGCTGAGTTGCTGGCTCACAAGATCCACGTGTATGAAAAGCATGCTAATTGGTCTTTAACGCCATTGAAGGTAAGACGTATTCACACTGTAAGTTTGCGGAGTGATAATTAGATTTGTGAAATTAAAGGTGAGGAAAAAAGAATTGTCTAATTGGAATGGGCGGAACCAATTTTTCAGTCCTTTGTTGAGTCGCCAGCATCGTTTCATTTGTCGTTCACTTTTGCTTACCTGCGGCGTGGAAAACAGCAGACCATATCGCTTGCCTGTGCAACTTTGATGCTTTCTGCTCCAGTGAATTTCAAAGTTGGGTTGTGTTCCTAGTTCCTTTCTCACTCCCCCTACCCCGCACCTCTTCTTGCTTCCTCTATGCTAACGAAAAAGCTAATAAACAGCCTCAACTTGTACTTAATATAGATCTTCTGTCTACGGCATTTACAAAGGCCACGCGCTCACAATGGCGTGGTGGGGCCTGGGAGCCCGGCATTTCTGTGCTTTTGTCTCCAACCGTTACGCCTCACCTGCTCAGGTCGGTTCTGGAGCCCCCGGCACGGCCCTGCTTCAGGGTGTGGAAAGCATCTCTGCTCAGAGTAACCGCCCGCTAGGTGGCCGTGGCTTTCACCTCCTTCCAGTCTCTGCTGAAATGTCACCTGGGTGAGATCTCCCCTCGCTACCTGATCTACTTGGAGCCCTGCTCCCCTGCCCCACAAATTTCCTCTCATTTTACTGCTTCATTTTTGCTGTTAGCCAACATCTTATATACGCATGTCTTCTTTATGATCTGACTGCCTGACTAGGGCATGGGCTTCACCAGGACAGATTCATCAAATATTTGTTAATGTAGTGAGGATTGGTAACCACTGAGGCTCATCTCCTGCATCCACCAGTTCTGGCCAGGACGGAGGTTTAGTCAGAAGGAATGAAAACACAGAGGAGAGGGGAGGGCTGAGAAGGAGGGGGAGGAAGGGGACGGGAGGGGATAGACTAAGAGCAGAGACGTAAAGAGGAGAGACTGAAAATGTCCCTTATTCCTGAAAAACCCTGACACCGCTCTCCCGCCACCCACGCCTACAGCACGAAGCACTGTCACCACCAATTGCACCCATCAGCATATCTGAGGTGCTGTCATGATGATCTCACTTGGAAAATTACCTCGGAGCAAGAGCCAGTGTAACATCATGTTTAAAGACCATGGCAGGGCTACTGCGGTATTAGCTGAAATAAAATCGAATTTCACACACTCAGACTGACTGAGAGAATACAAAGCAACCAGGGTTGTCATGATAGGTAAAAGGAAAATTACAGCATTCTATGATAGAACCCAACCCCATAAGCACTCAGCATAGAATGCTAAGTCTCTGCTCTGCCCGGGGAAGGTGGAAGGCAAGGCATGTTTCTGATCTGGCTTCCACTTCTGACAACAGGCCACGCCTCTCTCCCATCAGAACACCCAACTTAGTAGAGGCCACCCCCTCAGATGCACTGTTCCTTTTTCTTTTGAAAGATCCTATTACTTAAATACTTCAGATAAACTAGTTGTGGCTGATTGTAAAATTTGTGATGCCACATGGATGGCTTTGTGTCTTGCCCAATACGGCAGATCCTACCCAATGGAATATTAGTCAGCCTCGAAGAGGAAAGGTGGCCTGATACAGGCTTCCACCTGGATACTAAGTGAAAATAACCGACACAAAGGGACAAATATTGTGGCTTCACCCACCTGAAGCACAGAGCATAGGCAAATTCATAGGAGCAGGCAACAGGAGTGAGGTTACCTTGGGCCAGGGGCAAAGAAGAGGGGGCATCAGTTTAATGGTTACAGAGTTTCAGTTTGGGATCATTAAAAATTCTAGAGGAAGATGGTGGAGATGGTAAATGCACAAAGTGTCACAACATTACAAATGTGCTGTTTTTCCTCTGTATCAGACATTGTACTTTTTTAGTGTTAATTTTAGTTTTATTAGCGCATGTTTGCAGTACATGCTTATATTCACTGTGAAGAATTAATACACGTACATGACATATCTCAGTTCTATTTTTTCACCCCGTTTCCCTCTCCTTCCATATCCTCTCCTCTTCCCCCTTCCCTTTTGCAAAATATCTGTCTCCATATTTTCTATAATCTACCTTTTATTTAGCTCTTTATTTATGTTTTGAGTTTTCATAGAAGAGAAATTATGCAGTATTTAAGCTGTGTGTCTTATTTCACTTAACAGCAGTCCTCTTTCTGTCTCTCATAGTCTATCCAGTTTGTAAGCCCTCAGGGCACGTCGTCCTCACACTCACGGAGGGCCTTCCCATTATACACACACCAACAGTAGATGAATTTAGTAATCACAAACACTTAATCCCAGCATCCCACACTCTAGACCCAGCCACCTCTGAAAAGCCCCGCCTATGAGGGCATGAGCCTTGGAAGGGTCTATACTCAAGCCTTAACAACCAGAGTTCATTTCCAGACTGGGAATGGGCTCCCTGATGGACTACTGGCTCTTCCTTTGTGGAAGCCACACACACTGGTGCTCAAAGGGCTCAGTATTTCTATGTTGGGTGATGAGACCCCGGGCTTCTGTGAACTTCCAGGCCCACTTGCAACTGTCATGCCAGCAGGCTTTCATCCACCATGAGATCCACCCATTGGCTGTGCCCCTTCCAAACGAAATAGCAGAGACGCTCATTTCTTCACTTACAGAAACTCATCACAACAGCGTAGGTGCTGACACCTGGAAAGATTGTGGTTCCGGGCTGCAGAAAGCCCAGATGCTTGCTCGGCTGCCTCCTTTGGCCAGCCTTGTTTGTTTCCAGGCTAAAGAATGACAGGCCCGCGTGATGGTGAGATTGAGGCTCTGCTGCATGGATTGAGCGTCAAATCCCCATGCGGACACAGGGACAGCTCTCATTTTTGAGTAGGAAGCAAAGGGCAGCGGTGGCTCACTTCAGCTGCCTGCCCACTCTGGCCTCCGCAGTGAGTCACAGCTGGTTATTTACTGCGCCCCCAAGCACCTAGGTAGGCTGAACTCTGAGGTACACGGTAGCTATTGTTCCTCTGATGGGAGTTAGAGGTAAACAAATAGATGGGATTTCTTTCCAGGAGAAAGCAGCCAAGATGACGAATGGCAGACTGAAGAATCATTGGTATTATTTATGATCCTGGTACAAACCCTGGACAGCAATCTGTGCAGGCATTGCCTGCTTGCAACTTATATTTAGAGAATAAACAGCCGAAGAACAGGGAGTTGAACTATATCAGGAAAGCGAAAAACAAACTTTTCCTCAACTCCCAGGCAAAAATTAGACCCGGGGTGATCATTTCTTCTCTGGCTGCACAGCCTATGATTAGCCATGAAATAACTCACATTTCATCTACGTCCTCCTCAGAAACAAATCTACCTTTCTTTGCTGTTTGTGAAAACTCATCTCCATATGAGATTTCAGAAACAACCGTTTCATGCCACACTTAATTTTTTTTTGGTACGGTGATAGGTTCACACACATCCATGTTAGTACAAATGATTTCATTCAATTTTTAACCGTCTTTACTTTCCGAACACCCTACCCTCATCTTTCATGGAATCTGACAAAATACTAGCGTAAAGGGAAGGCCAGAGGGTTTCCTGAGTGCTACTGAAATGGGGCAGAGTTTTACCCCTGGAAGCAGGAGAGAGATGAGCGTGAGAGAGTCTCTCTGACATACTGGTGAGTCACTTCACGATTTTCCCTCCCTTTCTCTCTTTTGTTCTCTCCTTGCTTTTAATCTTGGAAGTCACTCGACTTTGACACGCTCGTGGATAACATATCTGTGGACCCTGTGACGGGGGACCTTTGGGTTGGTTGCCATCCCAACGGCATGAAGATCTTCTTCTACGACTCGGAGAACCCTCCTGCCTCAGAGGTTAGTGTGACCAGTGACCTGGCTCACTGTATGTATTTTTAGCTGTTGTTTTTTCAGCCAAAAATTCTTATCTCTTCCTGTCTTTTTGTTTTTCTTCTGGTACTGGGAATCAAACTCACGACCTCACGCTTGCCAAGCAGGCGCTGTGCCGCTGAGCTAAATACCCAGCCCCAAGCACTCTTCCCCTCTCAATAAAAGAGGGGACATGGAAAAGATGATCTAGATGACTAGAAACATAAAGGAATTTTGGAGGTATTTTAGTCAGTGTCTAGGCAGAAAACAGATGAGCCACTTAAACTGCGGAGTTTGAGAGGAGTTGAATGAAAGGATTGCCTACAAGACACAGCCGGAGCATAGGGACATCAGCCAGGGATAATTCAGTACCAGAGGTGAAAAGGGGGCAGGAAGTGATACCGAAGCCAGACTGAGAGGGGCATAGCTTAGTGGTACAGTGCCTGCCTGGCATGCATGAGGCTCTGGGTTCAGTCCCTAACACTAAAAAAATGTAGGGAGGGGGAGTGGAGTGTGGAGAGGGTCCTCTGAGAGGAATCCGGCCCCTGCCTGAGGGATGTAGCCAACCAGTGGTGACACTACAGGGGTGCAGGCTGGAGCATAAGTACCCCATCTTAGTCACTTACTTTCCAGTTGCTGAGACACAGTACCTGACACCGACAACTTAGGAGAAATTTAACATGGCTCAGTTCCGGTCCTTGGGAGCCTGGTTCCAAGGCAGAGATGTCATGGCAGAAGGGTATAGTGAGACAAAGCTGCTCAGGGCCAGGAAAGGCCAGGAAGCAGAGAGAGAAGGGAGGAGAGGGCTCTCCGACCAGGTGCCACCTCCCAACAGCACATTGAGCTATGAATTCAATGGCGGACATCCACGGATGCACAGAGCACCCCAGCCATCCAGTCCCCTCCTCAAAGCCCCACCTCTGAATATGTGAGACTCTTGGGGGCATTTTGGTTCTACATTGGAACATGCCCTCACTCCTTCTGCTTTTCCATCCCTACCGCTGCTGCCAGTGGCAGGAAAAACCGGAAGCTCCTCCCCAAGCAGGCCTCCGGTAAGTCAGAACAGGGTCCCGCTCCACATGTGGTCCACACCTCTATGTCAGTAGCGAAACTCTCTGCCGCAGGAACCCAGTTTTTTAAAACAACGTAACATGCCATGCAGCTATGGCTTAACTGCACTTGGGGCTTATGTTCCTGTTACAACGCCCCGTCCGGGGTGTCAGTAGAGCCAACCTCAGTATCTTTGATGGTTTGGATCCAAGATCCCCTCATGGTCACAAAACCCCCAGGTCCCAGGTACCTTGTGTAAAATGGTGTGGTATTTGCATATAACTCACATGCAATCTCCTGGATATTTTAATTCATGCTACATTACTTACAATACCTAATACAAGTGCTACGTAATACTGTTGTGCTATGCAATTCTGCATAATTTAGGGAACAATGAGGAGACAAAGGTGTTCGTACAGATGTAATTTTTTCCCCAAATATTTTTCATTTACGGCTGTTTGGATCTGCAGATGTGAAACTTTTGGATACAGAGAGCTGACTACATATGTACAAATCAATACCAGGGACCAGTCCTCAAGCAAAATTGGCCATTCTCTGCAGACAGTTCCTGAAGAATGGGGAGATAAACCACCTCCTGGAATTTATTTTGGCTTAGAAAAAATCCATTTCCACCTTAGTTAAACTGCTACTCAAAGACCCCTTGTTGAGGCCATGGTCTTTATGTAGCAGATGACTTTGCAGGGCAAGTAAGAATTTAAACTCATTATGCCATAGATATTTAAATACTTAACCATGACTCACCTGGGGTTTTCTGTTTTGAATTTCCTATGTGTACTAATTATACTTGTTATTTACATCAAATTCATACTAACATTTTGTTTACTGTTGAGTATTTTTAAAGCTGTTTTAAAGTCATTTTCATTTTCCCAAAAGGAAAAGACCGTCTCTCTTGAATAAAAAAGTCAAATATGTATTTCCTGTTAAATTATTGCCTTCATGTCTTTGTGATCCAGGTTTACAGAAAATTGTGATAATGTTTAATAACAATTCTTTGCGCCTTCTGCTGGTTTTTAGCTATCAGGAGTGCTGAATGGATGTTTAATAGAACTGGAGAAACGTATGCCACCCAGTATTCATGGTTCAGAACTTAGCAGAATGTTTAGTCTAATTTTTCCTGGCTCGTTAGCTCATTTGGTGAGTTTGGGCCATTTGCTATAACATGGACTCAGTTTGTTGTCCCAGAAAAAAGGTATTTCCTTTCTAGAGATGGATCCGGTAAAGAGTAGCAAAAGTAATAACAATCCATTATCTAATGCACTGCCCCATAGAAGAGTGATTTAGTTTTATTATCAGGAGGCTTAGTTAAGCCAAGGTGCACCATCATCTATTTCCCTGTAAGTAACTGCTACAGGATAATATTCCAGCAATTTCTTAAGAAATGTGTCTTTGGTGCCAGCTGCTGCAGAGGTCGTTTTGAATGGCTCATTGTGTTCCCACGCTGGCCTTCCTCGGCAGCCATGTTTGTTTTGTGATGTAGGTACCCTTTTTTTAAGTTACTGTATTTTATTCTCATTGATGGGGAATTTAGAAATAATCCACTTTCACCCATTTCGTTTTCAGACAAGAAAGAAATGTGACAGATCCAAGACATGACCTAGTCCTCCTGCCTCAGTAAAACGCCTTTCACATTAGGTTGAATTATATGGCATTGCTATTTTTGTCAGCCATGAAGATCAAATGTTAGCTGTTTAATACAGTACATATTACATGACATTACAGCATTGCTAATGCTGCAGTCAAATTCGCAACTAAATGGAGGGAACCGAACTTTTAGCAAATCTTGTACATTTAGAGATGGGACCTTACAGTCAGAGGGATGGATGAGTGTGGAACACAGCAGTTGTGTGGGGGAGTTATGCATGGGTTTTTTCCTTTAATTGCCTGTATTTAAAGACCAAGCATTAAGAAAAGGTTCTATATTCTGAGCTTACTTGAAAGTATACAAAAACAGACCCAGGGGCTGGGGATTTAGCTCAGCGGCAAAGCGCCTGCCTGGCAAGCGCAAGGTCATGAGTTCGGTTCCCGGTACCGGAGAAAAACCAAAAAAAAAAAAAAAAAGAAAAAAAAAGAAAAAGAAAAGGTTCTATATTCTGAGCTTACTTGAAAGTATACAAAAACAGACCCAAGTTCCTGCATGGACGCCATTTGGCGGAGGCTGAGTCACACTCCCCCCACCCCACATATCCGCGGCGCACTCCTTCTCCCTCATGGGGCTGCGCTGCGGACTTCCTGCCACTGTGCAAGATCATAGCCTGTTTCCAAACGAGGAAACAGGTACCCAAATACAGAGTGATTTTGGAACAAAGTATGATTTATGCGGTTACAGATACACGGTTTGTTACGGAGAAATAACCTTGTAGTTGTTTGAAGTGACTTTCAAAGCTAATTAGCTCCCTGGTATTTCTTTCGCAGGTGATCCGAATCCAGAACATTCTAACGGAAGACCCCACAGTGACGGTGGTTTATGCAGAGAACGGGAGCGCCCTGCAGGGCAGCACGGTGGCCTCTGTGTACAAAGGGAAACTGCTCATCGGCACAGTGTTCCACAAGGCGCTGCACTGTGAGCTCCAGTAGCCCGGCGCACCGGCAGCTGCGGCAAGCCCACGTTAGCCTCTACGCGTCTAAGCGGCCACTGCAACCCTGGCAGCGTCAGAAGGTGGACGCTAAGTGTGAATGTCAAGAGGCGCGGAAGTGCTGTGTGGCCGGGACCACATCTGGACAGCCTGGCATTTTGAGAGTGCGTTATCAATTTAACCTAGGAACACTCGAAAACCTCACTTGTCAATCAAAGATCCTTTTCATTAAAATGGTTCAATTTGTTGTACCAATTGTCAGCTCTTAAATAATTTCATTGTATGTGAGTCAAAAAATCCTTTCCCCAGAACATGTATTCCCTAAAAAAAAGTACAGGAGTAAGTTATACTGCTGCCTTGGTAGTTCCCCTTCAGAAAACAGGCGATCAGGATGAGTCTGTGTGTCACGACACCGTTAGTCCTTACTTGGGGACTCCAGGTCGCTTATTGGAGAGTGAAATGTGTGCTCTAAATGTACCCGGCCCCCCAGCAGCCCTACTCAGCAAAGCCATGGGCCACACCAGCACCCTGAGACTTTGTTACGGTTTCTAGGCAGGTGTCCCCCAGAGGTGGGGCTTTGAAGGGCGACTGAACCACGGGGGCGCCAGAGCTAACAATGCTCCCAGGCGGGGGGCTGGTCGGGAGAGAAGGGTGACTGGGTGACCCGGAAGGGCGCGTTCTTGTGCCTGGCTTCTCCCTGCTTCCTGGCCAGCACGATGTGGGCAGTTTTCTACCGCCCAGGCCCTTCCACGGATTCTGTGTGAGTCTGGGGAACGTGGACCAGGACTGAGTGTGTGCTGTGACTTTCTCAGGCAGCAGGAACCTCATCGCTCCCCCTCCCACTCCCCTCTGGCTCTTCTGAGACCCCTGTGGCAGTGGCATGTAGGAAAGGCCTAACATTCTTGGGAGCACTGTCACACCTGAGGACGATGTCTGTTACCTCAGCACCACTTGCACGTTTTAATGTCATTGGCCTGGATAAAGAGGGAAGTTTGCTCATTCAACAAGCGGACACAGACAAAGCCCAGAAGCTAGAGCGCTTAGTGCCTCTAGCTAATTGTTGAATTGTTTTCTGTTCTAACTAGCTGGGAAGGCTGAGAAAAAAATACAAAGGTAAACAAACAGAAAAGATCAACAAGGACCTTTGGCTATCTTCTGAGAAATGCAAACAAAATGTGACGTCACCATTTGGGTAGGAATAAGTGTTTAAAACCTACTGTTTGAAAGTGATAAAAAGATGCTGTTTTGATAAAAGGCACTTTCCTGTGTCAGGATTCAGGGTACTCCCGGTCTCAGCGAGCATCCTGCCGCGTGCCGTCGGTCAGTGGTACTATCTGGCCTCAACCCAGGAAGCTGGACGCACAGGTCCTGTCTGTAACTATCAAGGAGTGGGGTGTTTCGGAAAACCCTGCCGCGCATTTCCTTTAAAAAGAATTCCTTGAGTAGTTCGCCGCTGTAACGTGTGCAGTAAAATATTCTTCTTCTGTCCAGTTTCACGTAGCATACCTTCAAATTCATTCGAAAGGAACACACCTTGGCTATGAACTGTCTAACGCACACCAGAGGAAATGGCCTCATTCACGTACTGTGCTGAGTAGGGCTGCTGGGGTGCCGGGTACATTTAGAGCACACATTTCACTCTCCGAAGTTGTCAAAAGTTTAGTCTCTGAGTGAGTGTGGCAAGGAATGACATTAATATGGATCATCTGCTATACCAAACCTTGAAGGTTGTAGGAATAAAACTCTTTAAATAACCCGGTGCTCTAGGGCGGGCTGCCTCTTGCTTAGCCTGCCCTTCGCTGCGTGAGGCTCAGAGCCTCACGGACCGTCACAGACCTTCTCCAGGCTGATGGGCCTCAGAACCCTTGATGGTAAAGCCGCCACGGGGGAAGAGAAAGACGGCCGAGGGCACTCCGACTGGAGGCTTTGCTCTTTTAACTTTCTGCCCAGTTCTATGGTTGTGCTTTCAAATGTAATTCTAGCTGCCGATTTACACTGTACTAGAGTTAAAATTTATTTTTGGTTTTATTTCCATGAAAAATATGCACTTTGCTCTTGACTGATGGACGTGTTTTAACAGCTGATATAGGTTTACCCCGTCAAAGACTGTTTTAGTTGAAGGTGAAAATGGAAGAGGAAAAAAGAAATTACAACAGATCTCCGTATTTCTCTTTTTATTGCATTCGTCGTCTTAACAATAATACTCATTGGCAAGAGGTTTATTTACACTAACAAATTAAACTGAATCACAGGTATTTTTAGATTGTTCAGAAAATAAAGGACCACTGTTATATTTTGCTCTGAATATCTCTGAAAACAAAAGCGAAAGGAATGTCCTTTGAAACAATACATATTAACCAAGCACAAGAGAACAATTCGGGCACTATCGCCTCTTCCATGCAAATGAGCAGTGAACAAACTAAAAGTTTCAGGTAACATGCAGCCCATACTTTTTGGACTCAAAGTTATTTTCAAACAATTCTTTTCCTTTAGTGGTCAAGAAAAAAGAAAGCAAATCAAATCCTTACAGAACAGAAATTTTTCTCCCTTACTTTTCAGCTGCCCATTTTGTTAGTAATACGTAGCAGGTGTGCTAGTGGTTTAACTGCAACACCAGTAAAAACACAAAAGCAGTAGTTCCGACATTAAATAATACTGAGGAAAGCATACACATATACACTGAAGGAATCTCACTAAGCACTAACTAAATCTGATGCTGTTGGGAGGTGGTATGTACGCTGGAGTGCCTCTTCTTGACATTTTCAGGTAGCCTATTCTGGCCAACTATTTGAATGATTAAATCCTGAACAGAAAACCTAGGTGTATGACTCAAAGAGCTGAACGAAACAGCAGTGTACACCTTCCAACAACACACACTCACAACCATTTGGTTTATTTTTGGTGACAACCAAAATGCCATTACTCAGCATTGAATGACCAAAATGCCATTATTTGGCACAATCAGTAAATAAATGGTCATTTAATGATGGCTACACCGCCAGCAGAGGCAGTAGTGATTTTAGCATTACAGCTACTGACGTCATCTTAGAAGTCAACGCACAAGAACGTAGTGCAATTTTTAGCCAAGAAAACTGTGGTCCACAGTTAAAACGCTGCATAAATATCTTCTGAGCTCTAACTCATAAAAGTGCAATGCTGACATGAAAGCATTAAGCAAACACTTGAAGTTTTATCTTACTAAAATACCAAGTATCTGATCAATCAGTTTTATCAAAATATTTGGACATGTAGAAGGGTAACAGCGTTTAGTAGTAATACTTACAATTAAAAAATCTTAAAATCAAAGGGCTATTCAAAGTACAGACGTCACAAAAAGTGGCAGTAAGGCTATGGTTACAGCTCAGGGTCCTAAGTGCCATTACCAGGCTCCAGATTAGGTGTTTTTATGCCATGGGATTGTGATGTACACGTGTAGGGTGGGAGATATATTCACACATACGTAATTCTGAAGCGCTACACAAATGGCATGCACGTTATTGAGAAATTATCGGTTGTTCTCTTATCCCTTACCTAACTTTCACTACCGATTCCCAAGTGGTTCTGGGCTTGGGGCCAAGGACTGGGAAGCATCGTGTTTTCTTCCTTCCCTCCTCTGAGGATCTGGGTCCTAGGCTGTGCTCGGGCCCCACTCCCATATGTGAACCTTCCAATACTAATCATCTGCTCCACAAACCCACCGATGCCCACGTACGAGCACAGAAGGACCTTCTACCTACCATCGATAGGACTTGCTCTTACTTCCCAGGAGGAATTTAATTTGTAACTATTTTCTCTTCCCTCCGGCTTCTCAGTTGGGCTTAGTCTATGCTGCTACTTAAAATGTGTTTTCTCCCCCAAGTGTTTTGGATCAAGCCTGTATTTCCTGAGACTTTAAAATACTCAAAACAAAAGCGCACAAAATCTGCCAACATACCTAGGCTGGTTTTCAGGAGCAGACATCTGAGCATGTTTAGATTTCCTACCATACTGCATTCTTTTGAGTGTGTGCCCTCCCTTGCCCTAGTGTGATGAGAACAATTCTGGTAGAAAGTATGAACATATTACTTCTGTCCCTCATCCTTAAATAATTAGCCTTAGAGCTGTGCACAGGGAGGTCCTTGGCTAAAAGTGAATTAGAAAGAAATGGAAAAGGTGGGCTTTTCATTTCCAGTTTATCTTTTTAGTCTGAGCGCTCAAGCAAGTCACACACACATCAATGACTGCTTATCTGTCCCAGCAGCACGCCCCTGGGCTCTAGTTCCACGGAGAATACCTGGAGTTACTCAAGTACAATTTGCTAGTTTTAAAATATCTCTATGTAATGAAATGGCTCAAACATTTCCAAAGTACAGACATTTCTTTCCCAAGTGTTGGGACTCTTTCCTCCAGAATTTTCCTGGACACACTGGTTAACATTGTCCTTGGAAGTTCAGTCTATTCTAACCTTCCATGGTTATAAATGATTTAAAATATCTGCCTAAATGCAATTTCCATTTACCTTCTTAGAATGTAACTTTCAAGAATATGTTAATCTTACTGCACAAGGATCACTCAGGAGGTTCCTTTCTCATCAGCAAAAATCCTCAAGGCTGTGTTGCTTGATCAAATGACTTGTGGACATTCTTGTAGCCTGGGCCTGGAGTATTTCAGGATTTCTAGTTAAATGACCCTAGTTCACAGGTAGCGGCTGGGGCCAACCTGTTCTCATGGCCCTTCTTTCCATTTTGCTCCCAACAGCAAAAGAGCACGGGACAGACATCCCCACTGTGCACCAGCTGAAGAGAGAGGGGCCACTGCATAACAGCAGTACTTTAACAGCCTCAAGCAGAGTAACCTGCTGTAAAGCTACTCCGCGGAACCTGCCCACACACCATTCCCACCGCGCTCCCTGTCTACAGCCCGGTCTCCCCACACACCCTTCCCTCCAAAGCGTGGCCCATGGGCCCCAAAACACCTCTGGCTATTGGCGGAGCCATGCTGAGCTGTTCTTTCCTACAATATATTTCAAAGTAATCACGTATTCCCTTTATGGTCATTTTTTGATAATAAAAAATGCAAAGTCTTTAAGGTTCATGAAGCGACAAATCTGTGTCAAATTATAGGGACACTGGGAAACACTAGCACTGAAGTAGGAGCTGTGCAAGACATTAGAACCTGAATCAGTCGGCATGCACTACAACCACGGAGAGAAATAATAGGAAAACAGAGTGCTTACAAGATCTGAGGTCCTTCACTTTGTAACCATCAGTTTACATTTTGGCCTTTGCCGGGCAATCACATCAAGTGCCTTTTACAAGTCCAGCAGTTTTAAGTACTGAGGTTAAATGAACTCGTATACTTAAGACTGCTGTAATTTAATTAAAATCAAAATGGTTACAACACCAACTAAATAATCCGAGGACCAAGAATGTGATTTGTAACATTTCAGTTGGATATTAATCTGAACAAGGAAGTATACAAATAAAGTTATAATAAGGAACAATACTATACATTTAAGAAAATACAACAGATCATAAATTATGGGCAGAGACACACTTACAGACATTTCCAATATATACATAAATTTCCAAATATAACCAAAGTGTAAACATAAAATAATTGCCCTTCTATTTCCATTCTTGAATCAGTACAGTGAAATTTCCAGTGTGGTCCAAGGTTACTTTTTGTTTTCCACAGAAAAACAAAAATTGCAAAAATTTACAATAGCAAGCACTAATATTACGAGATATTTTCTAATTTAATTTAATCTTTGTCTTTAAAGATTAAATCTTTAATTTAACCTTCTAATCAAATTTAGTCTTCTGCATTAGGGAACACCTGCTGACTTTTAATAGCAGCTTCCGGTTTCTCGTGATGTTAACAAACAGCAAAGCACCAGATACCTCAGTATATTAACAGGTATCTGGTGTGGCATTTTCTTCGTGCAGACAGAAAAATGTGACAGTGACTCTGGTCGTCACAGTGCTGCTCTGTGCCAACACTTTTGAGACCAAATGAATGATCTGACCTAATGACAAAAGGGCTGAAGCTTAACACACAGTTCTCTGGCACAGAGAAGGAGACAGACCTAATTCCAGGACTCAGGTATTAAAAAATAGTAATAATAAACAAGCTCACACCGTTAAACATGAGAAATGGGGCCACTTGGGGAAGATTTCCTTACACTCTCTGTTACACGCAGGCCTCGAGAGCCGCCGGCCAGCACCCCGAGCAGAGCGGGCAGCCCAGGCCGCACGGGAAGGGAAACACCTGCCCAAGGACTCCTGTGACCTCAAGTCTTACCCTGAAACGTGTCCACTGGAAAGTGAGGACCTCATTTTTGGAGCTCATGCAGCAAAGAGAATGAGAGTAAGCGTAAGAAGCAAAACAAAGGACATTTTTAAAAGCCCTCATAGTTTGAGATTTCTCAAGATGAGTGTATTTTCTCCTCCGTCTGCCCCAGTCTCCTGCATTCGATTCAGGTTGGTCAAATACCAAAATCTTTAACGCTGGCTTTAAAATAAGCATAAGTTCTCCCACCGCTTCGATGTAACCCATGTGCTGCCTTAAACAAACTGGTAAGCGCAAATCTCTAGGGTATGGAAGAGAATGGCTCAGAGAAACCGTTCAAAACATCTCTAAAATGCAACTGACAGCTTTCCTTTGCAGGAACATTCTGTATGGTTCCACGGTTGAATGTTACTCAAATCTAAATTTTTCTCTAACTGGTATTTCTATTTTTCTTAAAAGTACATTTGTTAAAACACTGAGTCCACTTGGGAAATTTTGAGTAGAAAATAAGTGTCAAGTTCCTGGTTGTGTCATAGGCAGGTGAAGGACCAGCTGAAATGTTCCCCAGGAGAAGAAACCTGAAAATGTTGGTTTCCTTCAAAAATCAATCTCCTGTTCAATTTGCTGGGGGAGAAGAGGAACTGTACTATGTTTGCCAGTGTTGCTAAAATACTGAACACTCAGCGGGAGCAAAGTAAACAACAGATCCCAACCTGCCATAGCTGCATTAAGGTCTGACTTTTTTCTTTCTTTAGCAATATCCAGAGGATAAATGTTACCCTCAGAAACTCAAGGTATTACCACATACCCATTCTTAAGGCTTTTCCTCTCCTATATAGTTAAGTAACTATCATTTTTTCTCTCTTTCTGATGCCCAGCAAGCAGAACAGTAGGCGTGCTCTCTACCTCTGCAGGTAATTATGTGGCAGGACAGCCACACTTCCACAGTGGGACTAGCTCGCTGTCCAGACACAGAAGTGAGAGGGAGCCTCTCCCACACACGGACTGGATCCTGCAGCCCTAGGAGCAGCACCGATCCCAGATCTCATGACAGCTGCCCAGGTTCAGGATCCCACCGACTGTGCTGGGTGCTCCCTTGGCAACACCAGGGGGAGCTGTGCTCCTGCCGGCAGGTTCTCCAAGCGGCAGAGCACAGCACAGGATGTTGGTAGGTAGGAGAGTGAGAGCGTTAGCGACTTTGCATCTCTCACAAGTGAGATCTCTGGTTTGCTAAGAAACCACAGGTGGCTTGGGGTTATTTCTGGAGGGTAAATGTAAGAGTGCCTTTTCCTATTGCAGAAAATGCAGTCACTCAGCACAGGGTTCCTCAGTCTGCCTCGAGCAGCGTTACCCCCAACGTCAGTTCCTTCTTCGTCCACTGGAGGAGACGGGCAGACAGGAAGAGGGGGCACTTTAGTGCTCACCAGCACCCTCTGCTGCAGTTGATGTCATCTTCTCCGCCTTTCTGGACTTCCTCTGCATTTGCTCCTGTTCCTTCCTCCTTAGCTTTTCTCTTTGTTTCTCCATTTTCTCTTGGGCCTTCCGAGCTTTCTCTAGGGACATCTTCATTTCCTTCAGTTTTTTTTTGACCAGTGCTCGATCCTGGGACGATGTTATTCCAAGAGCCTAGGAAGGAAACAGAGATGTAAACTGAATTTGAAAGCTTAAGACCCATCTGCTTATGGTGACGTTAATGTCACAGTATGTTCAGACTCCTGAACCAATTCAAACATGGACAGAAGAGATAAGAACTGATTACATCTGCCACACGGGATAAGCTGAGTAAAGGTCTGAACACAGCGGGGCTCTTTGTTTCTGTGTCCTTTGAAGTCCCTTGCAAATGCACCTTAAACCTCGTTAAGAAAACGCTTCCTGAATTGGTGATTAATGAGGGAATGAATGAAAAGAGAACGTGATTCTACTTCGCCAACCTTTGGGCTGTAGACCTTTACAGGGAAAATTATCGCTGCACTCATCAATATCTAAAGGGTAACTGGTGGGCACCTGCTGCCACGCAGGGCTCTAAGAAGGGCGGGGAGAACGGACGTGGCTTTCCTTCTGCCAGTGTGTTCGTTTACAATGAGAACCAAAAACATCTTCGGAGCAAGAACGCTCATGTCAGCATGCCTAGCCATTCTCTCCCTACAGGCAGCCCTATCAAGGAAGGCTGATTAAATGAGGAGGTTGCTCCATCAAGCTGGAGTTCACAAAAGGGGAAGTCTGCTGCATACTTTAAATGTTTCACGTCCTTCAGAACCAACAGTAGGATGTATCCATCTCCCCAACAGGGACAGCTTTGTCAATGGGGCCTTCATATTCACACGCTATTGACTGATCTGTAACCTTTTCAAGGCTGTCATGAGATACTCAGCTACCGTCAGCCTAGCAGGGGGCTGAGGCAGTGGGGAGGGATGCTGGGAGCTGGCTGGATATCTTATTTGCCCTTTCCCACGGGGTTGGGTGCCCTCTGAGTTTTTAGGAAAGATGGGCCGCACAAGTGGAAATGAGAGTGCAATGGAGGGGAGGGAAGACACAGGCTACACATGTTCGGGGAAGGAAAGTTCTGGGGAGGGCATCATCCCGGTTCTGAAGTGGTGTGTGGGGAGCAGGGGTGTGGAGGAGCAACGAACAAGGGAAGGCAGGTGCATGGGTCTGGGTCTTAATTTTAACGGGATGAAAAGTCCATATTGGCCATTATTAACACCCACACCACATAGGAAAGAAGTAGAGTTAATACACGGGCCATGTGCTGCCAGGTGAAGCAATGGAGCGCGTCATCCGCAGCTACCGTCTGAATCAGAACGGGGGTTTTCTGAAACTTCACTTCCTACCAAGAAATGAGACATCGTCCTTCCTGCCGGCTGTGGATGAGGATTACCTCTCAAATATGCAGAACGCTCTGACCTAATGGAAACGTTTCAGGCGCTATGAGTAATATAAATCATACCTGGTAACCTAACACAGACGTGTGATTCTTTACCTTAAGTTTATTTCCATCCAACTGCAGGAGCTGCTCTCCAGTGATGTTTTGGGCACTGAATTCAGATACATACTGCTCCAGGTTTAGGCTCATTAGCCAGTGAGAAACCTGCTGCACACTCCATTCATGAACGGCCCGACTCTGACACTGACTGTGTTTGGGAGACTGTCCATCGTCAAGGATCTGAGGTAGGAATTTACGCAGTGTTGTTAAAGGACCAAAATGCTTATGTCTCATATTATGCTGCCAAAAGGAATTCCTTAACCCACTAGAGCCACGTTCATTTTAAAACAATAAAATGATAATGGCTCTAGTTCTGTTAGAAAGAGACATACTTATTATCTACATGGTTTTAGTTATATGGAAATTTAAAAATTCCCCCAAATAAAGTACCATTATTTAGGAAGTTTAATATGGAAAGAACTCCTCTGTGTTGAGGTTGAGAACTTATACATTAAAACACTATGGAAATATTACCTGATGTAAAAAACAATTATTTCATAAATCTCCCCATGCGATGCATCACTCTACATTCTAAGGCACTAGAATTTTGGAAAAATATGCTAAAAATATTGAGGCGTTTTTCACTTGGAAGAGAGCACTGAAGCCCTCAAGCCTTCTTAGGGGAAATTTTACAACCAATTTTTCGTTTGAGCAACAAGCAAACCTGTGAGGAAGGTAGGAAATATTCAGGATGACTTCATACATGAGGAAACCGAGGCTCAGAAAGTCTGTATGATTTGTCCAAGGTAATGTAGCTAGTAAGGGGTGGAGCTCAACAATGGGTATTTTATTCCAAATTCTAGGCTCCATCCACAGTAGAGTATTTGTTACTAACGCAAAAGGGCAGGTTAGTTTCCAGGGCAGCTAAGGTGAGCGATGAAGGCCATGTCTGGGACGGAAGTCAGGAGTCGCCTTGGTGACTCACTCGTGAGGAACAAGGAGGGCATGGGCAAGCTGAGATGAAGGCAGAGGAGATGAGAAAGAACGAGCCTTGTTGAGGGAACAGCGATGGGAGGGAGACGGGGACTCTGGGGTGAGACTTAGATCCTTCCCACTCTGGAATGCCTCTTAGGTAAGACAAGGGCAGAGAGTGACGCTATTTAACACATGGAACCCCTCCACTGCAGAGGAAAGTGTTCCTGTATTGTTTGATTTTTAAGTCATTCACAAGGAGAGAAAAGCGGGTCGAAACAATCCCACACAAGGCCTCACACACAGCCCACGGAGCGCTCACCTCGTCATCTATCATATCCAGGCTCTGAGTGAGGGGCAACAAAGGAACCAAGAAGAGAAGGGTTATAGAAACAGGACGCACAACGTACACAGCACACAGTTCTAATACAGTACGAACCACTTGGAGAGTATCGACAGAAAAACTTACAAGGAAAAAAACGTTTTACAAAACGAAAATGTTCTAAAAGATAAAAAGTATTTTAGAAAAGCCAAAATATCTTCACTTACACTGTTTCCTCCCCAAACCCACCCGTCGATCTCTAAGGATCTTCCCACCTCACTGATACACTTTTATCTCCTGGTCATCCTCAGCGGTGCTCCTGCCGCCCCCCGTTTCTGAGCACGTGGCTTATGCCTTCTTTTCCTCCCCTATCACAACTACGCCTCTCTCCTGCAGTGATTTCACTGGGGGCACAGGATATTCAGGAGTACCAGACTCGTGGAGTAGGGGAGACCGTGGGGGGCCAAGGGAGAGAGCAAATGGATACTCTGTAAACGTCACGTGATCTGAGTTCCTCTTGTGTGTTCTGTGCCCAGCCGGCCCAGCATGTGTGCCTGTGTATGCAAAGGGGTCCCTGGAACGTTGCGAGGTTCTCAGAAACAACATTTGATTTCAAGGTGCCAGAGGGGGAAAGCTATCATGCAGCCTTCACTTCACATATGAAACTACAGTCCTGACGATTTCAATGCTGAATCTACCCTAAAAATGGTTCCCATGAGGGTTCAGGAGCAAAACGTCAGGTCGGAGAAGCCTGTTCCGCCACAGCCCCTCGGGCGTACCTCATCTGACGACAGCACCAAGGACTGAGACAGCCCCGGGGTTTTGGGTTCTGCTCCTAAGCCGCTCAGGTCTGCCGAACTAGTGCTGCTGGGGCTGAAGTCGTCATTGAAAGTAAAATTCTGTAAAAAAATAAAATAAAATAAAGTAAGTGAATCTCGGCATTACACGAGCAGAGTGAGCAAACTGGAGGCAGGCGTGTTTGCAAGTTCTCCAAGGACATTTTTAAGAGGAAGATAACTCAGGTATAGCTCAGTACGACTCAACTGGGCAGGGGCTGAAGACAATGAGCCTTCTGCAGCTGACTGGAATTCGGGGCACCTCCCGCATCTGATGGAAGGTGTTTTAAAGAATGATTCTTCACTCTCTCCAAGGGTACAGAATTCATTATCCCCTGTAACTGCTCAGAGGAGCGATACTAATAAGCCTATTTTCCTTGACCCTAATCCCGATGAGCGACAGCGTAAGTAAGAACACAAGGTGGTGTGAGAGGCTGAGTTATTAGGGACAGATGGGACTCCTGTCAGGAAGGTGTTGGAGCGCCCCCGGGAAGGACTGCACACGGCCGGCCGTGGTAAATGCCATGAGGAGTGGCACCTCCTCACCTGGATGTACCCTTTTGATGACGAGCTCTGCAGACAGCAGGGTCTGACAACACTCATCCAGTTACACGCTCAGCTACAACCCCCTCGCAGCACCAGCAGACCACTGCAGCAGCTGTGGCGCAGAACACGCACGTGTCTGGACAGGCAACCAGGGCTGCGAGGTGGACTTCATTCATATATTCAGCAGATGCTAAGCTCACATTTAACAATGGCTACAGAGCTACATTTCTGAAATACTTTAAACCAAATCTGGAGTCTCTTTAGTGCAGGATAATAGTAGAACTACAGCAGCAACATTGAGATGTTTCTGAGCCAATACTAAAAGATCAACATGGCCTGCTGCCGTAGAAACTGCTTTTGTTAAAATCTGTAGACTGGCTGGGTTTCCACGGGAATGCTAAGCGCCTGACCAACACCCTCCTGTTTCAGGCCGCACTGCCGAAGGAACTGCGCTGTTAGGGCTCCACTACGAACTTGAACTAGGCTTAGTTGGTTATGAAGAACAGACACCATGTTAGAGGCTGGAAAACTCAATACCCAAAAAACTCAAAAGATTGTTAGAACTTTAGAAAAGAAGTCTGACTCCTGGAGGTAGGCCAGAACAACAGTGCAGCAACAGGGCATTCAACGCAGACAATAACCACTGGTATTACTGTTGACAGAGATGCAACCCCAGAAGCTGGTCAAAACCCTTGGAGCTGTTGACTGCAAGAAAAGAATTAAATTCAAGTAACATTAATCACATGTTTCTGTTTGAGAGAGAAAAGTGAAGACAGAAAAAAGGAGACCAAATGACAAGCGAAAAGTAGCTACTGTACGTGTTCTAATAAAATGTTAGGTAAGGTTTGCAGCGTCATGCTGGAAATAACCATTCTGCATGTAAAACACACCACACCTGTGCACCTAAGCCCATTTCTGACAGCTACAGCACCTTGGTAACAGAACGACAGCAGCTGTTCAGCATGTAAGATTGATATGAAAAGAAGGAATAAGGTGCTGTGTCAGCGCTGGCTTCTTATAGTTTTACATATTCTGTATTGAATACACATGGTCCCCAATTTATCTGTTCTCCAATCTTGAAGAGCACAGCGAAACAGTTTTGTAATGTAATCTGAAGTAGAAAACTTAGCAAACAGATCTATAATGCTGGTTCGTGATTCAAATGCATCTTTCCCAGCATGGCTTAACTGTCAAACTGAGATTAAATAGCAGTACGTGAAGAGACAGGCAATCAGAGATGTGTACACTCCAGAGAGGAGCAGGATTAAAGCAGGTGATGGTTACACAAGGCGAGGCTTTCTCTTCCCCACTCGGGGAGCCCCATGCAGTGCTTCTCGCGCTGCTAGCACACTGGCTCCTCGGTTCCGAGCGCGCACACAGGCTGAGAATGGCTTCCAAAGACCGAAGAGGAGAAGGGGTTTGGGACTTGCTTGTTTGCTTTGTAAATCCACGTGTTTTCTACCTTGCACCTCGTTTTATCTGAAATTAGAGTCTCAGGAGAAGGCTGAAAGGGACTTGTAGGTGAAGGCGGGTTCCCGAAGGAATAGGATCCTTTCCGGCTTTCGTTAAACCACGAGAAAGGCATGCAGGGGGAGTGATTGGCCGCCTGGGCTGCTGAGTGTGGCTTGGGCTTCCAGTTTTCCAGCCTGCCTCTGAAGAGCCTGTTTCACGAAAAGAACAGGGATGTTAGACAAAGAAAGGGCAACAACAGCTACTGAAGCGAATTCCCGAAGGACTCTCAATATAGTTTGGGAAACTGTTCAACTTGACAGAGTACCGATTTTGCACATGGGGCTGTAAGACTAATCTTAATAGTTATCTTTTCTGCACCAAATGGGTTCTTAGGTAATAATCAACATTCTCAAATTGCTACTGCCATGGTGAATTTTTATTAAGTGCACGCAGGGAGGGGACTGGCTGAATTAAAATCAGGGAGGCGGTCTTTGGGGAGCTGCCCTCAGGTTAGCTGCCGCCGCAGCATCTCTCTGGGTGACGCATCAGGGCTTCCCTGCTCCTGAGTCACCCCAGCTCTCAAGAGCACCTCCTTGCTTTCCTGTGGACTCAGGTCCCCCGTGTCCATGGCGTAGACAACAATCTCTTTAAATAATCTGGGAATTTCAGAGCTTGTGATACTTTAAGCACAACCTGTAGCTTCTTGGTTTTTCATCATAATCACGGCATTTTTCACAGGAGAAACAGGAGGAACACAAGGCCTGAAGTCCACACAGTCCACTGGTGGCTGAGGGACGCCCCCTCCTGACAACGTGCCCTCGGGCCTTTCCCCCCCACCCCTTGTTTCTCCATCTGTGAAAGGTAGGCATCTGTGTGTATTTCAGATACGGTTAAGAATTAACTAAGATAATATATATGTGAGTACTTTGAAAACTACCTAACTATGTAAGTCTGTTTATTGCTTGGCATTTTTTAAAGGATTCGAAGGTACTTGAACAACACAGATTTTTTTCCTTAATGCATGTACTTTCATTGCATTTCTCTTTTGATCAGCAGGAATACTACTATCCGGAGCCAACAGAGGAACGGTGGTTTATGTCCATTCGGGAGCGGTCGGCCCCAACAAACCCCAATGCTCGCGGACGAAGTGCCTAGTGCTTCACAGCTATCGATACAATAATGAAGTGCCTGAACGTCCTAGTTAAGACGATTCTTCTCCTACACGGATACTAAATTTCAGCTTCCTCACATCTCATTTCGAAACAACTGATAGAAGCAACACATCTCCTAAAGATGAATTTGATTTCCAAATATTATTGCAAGACTCCAATTCAACAACCAATGTGAAAGCACCGTGTAAGCCGTAATACAATGCACAAATGTGAAGGGGTTTATCTGTACTATAATTGTAGGATTTATCTTTAAGATAAATTTTAAGACAACTGAAAAGAATAGAGAAGTCAGTGAAGTTCTGCGAAACTACTGGGACTGGCAGGTTGGATGAATAGAACCGGGGGCCACATTAGAGATCCCAGAAGAGCTACTGACTTTGATAGTGTAGTTCTTAAAAAAAAGAAAAAAAGTGGGGCCAGTTTCCAGGACAACAGAGAAAGCTCAACCAGAGAGATATGGCATCCTTTGATTTCATCCTAAAGTCTAACTTTAAAATCCAGATGTATCCTTGGATACACTTCTTATCACGAGATGGAGCAGTGTGCTCACTATGCTGAAGCAAGCACGGGAACAGAGGCGGACTGCTCTTCCGTAAGAAGCGCTTCTCATTACTCAGCCACGACCCCGTCCTTCCCAGGGGGAGCCTGGTAAGAGCCGTCTGGTGCCACTGACCTTGGGCACCAAGGGGGAGGAGAGCGGGGCACTCACCTGAATCCATATTTTAGCACTGGTCTGAGCTGACTTAAACATTTTTAATATTTTATTTGTTAATATTATCCTGAATGCAAATATAATTTTTTCTGGTGCAGGAAACATTCCATTATTTACAGAAAACTCTTACACACGTTTCCCACACCCCAGCTTTTTCCTTCCATGTGAACTGGGTGTTGTCCCAACCTTGGTCTACAAAGCAAATCTGGATGGTGACAAGGAAAGGGACAGAGCTCCTCAGGCCCCCGGCAGAGGGGGGGAATCTTATCTCCTTAATGCACACAAATTCCTTTTCCAGAAAACCCTGGGTTCTTATCCTCTGTCCTGTAAACATATGCCTCTGGGGAAGATAAGACTAGCCATTCCAGCTTTACAGCCCTGGGAATGTTTCTATGAAGCCTCAGCTCATCCTGCCTGCTCTCATCCAGTCAGATATAACCACATGTCTCCAGGGAAGCCAATTTCTTTGGAGTTCTCACTCTCGCTGGTCATAGTTTAACTTCAAAGCTTTCTCGATTAGCGTAGGTCCCAAATTCCAGTAAAAATGCTCACCTCATCTAACTGTATAGAAACATAAAAGTATGTTCTCTGAAGTACCACATGCATTTGGCATTATTTGAGGAAAAACTAGACCTGATGATCGAGGCACTTTTAAAAATACTTCCATTCATAATTCCAGTAAGTATGGCAGTCCTTAAACACATGGCTGGGGTTTTCAAGTTTATAAAGAAGCCATAATTATTAAGGGGTGACAAACTTCTCCTACTAAATGAACTGCCTTTGTAGCAATGCCCTTAGAACCACCACCATCTTTTTAAAAACTGGCAGGGAATTAGAATGTTGTTTCCTAATTATCATTCTTTTGCCTGATTTGGAAAGGAGTTTTGGTAGTCCAGACCTTGGTAAGCAACATTTGAAAAAAAATCTGAAGGCCACATGTAATTACACTGTTCTATAAATCCTCTCTGCCAGGAAAATATTCGAAAGTAGTAATTCTACACGGACTTGTACATCTAGCACTAGGGTAAGGCTTTGGGCCATGGAACCCTGGCCTCTGCTGAAACGCCTGGACTTTGTCTGCAGCTTTACACACCGGGTAACGGACAAGCGGAGGAACAGTCCTGCAGAAACAAGGAAAGTGCACTTCCGAGGAAACGAACACTGTCCCTACAGCTGCAGACAACTACATGTTGGGGTATTTTCAGGAAAGTTTTCCAGTTCTCCATTAGAATCAAGATCAAGAGAATAAACTCTTAAAGGATTTGAAAATAGTTTTTCAAGAATCGAAATAGCTATGTGTTATACTTCACCTATTTTTTTTGACTGTACATTAATGGCTCGTTATCAGTTTTAGAAAAAATAGGGTCACAAGTCATGGCTTTATCCCTGATTGTTTTATTGCTCGGAAGTAAAACAAAGAACGGCCTGAAATTCAGTCTGCATTACCCAGGGATATCATTTGGGAGACAGCACTTCATGGCATTTAGATGGTTTAGCTAATAACTCTATAGTAAATAACTCATTTACATAAATCTGTAATCAATTTACTCTGGAGTTGGCACCCCAAAATTAAATTTAAAACAAAATTTTTTGTACTGGGAATCGAACTCAGGACCTTGCACTTGCCAGGCAGGTGCTGTGCCGCTGAGTTATATCCCCAGCCCCCTATAATTAAATTTCTTGGCTAAACATTCCATGGTCATTCTGTGGTTGATGTATTAACTTTGAATACAAAATCTGTAAAGTACTCAGAGCCTACAAATTAGATGTCATCAAAATCTCATTTAAAGCTCACGAACTGCCATCCAGAATGAGTACTAAAGCCACTGAATTCACAGATTGTAGATAAAGTTAACTGAAAAAAGGGACTTTTTTTCCAGTGAAAGCACTGCAGATACAGATGTATCTGAATCAGAAGGGGTGCAACTGTGTAAGGTCCTAATATCACCAAGGACACTGGGTGTAGAGCCAGCACCATCTGAAGAGAACCTGGAGACTCCAGGTAGGAGCTATGACAATCAGCTCAGGACTGACCACCCTGCGTGTTTCCTGGTGTTTCCTGCCCCCAGGCCTGAGTTCTGGTCTGAAGTTAAATCAGTAACTACTAACCCATCTGAGGTAGTCCCTGGAGTGATTCAGCCTTAACTCACTTGAGATGATGAAACTCTTCCCTGAATGCATTTCCCTCCCCTGGGAGGGTTTCAAATTGAAACACAAAGGGATCATGCAAATGAAATCCATGCTCTCAAACATAAATGTGAACTTTAGGACTAATCAATTTATTGCTTAGGTATTTAAGAGAATTTGTGCTACTGGAAATCTATGTGAGAAATTCGTCTACTGATTCTTTTTAAAAATTTTACTTTTTAATTTCTGATCCTAGCGATGGAACCCAGGGCCTCAGGCATGCTAATTATACAGTCTACCACAAAGTGATCTCCCCAACCCTTTATTTTAACATTTTAAATTCATATCTTAAAATTTTAAACACACTTTAATCTAAAAGTCATTTTAGATTGTTTCTCGCATCTGCTTCGTTTTTTCTTTTGCGGTGTCTTTTGCTGACATCTAACTCACACATTCTGAGTGCTTCACAAACTTTGTGCTCAAAATTAAAACATCATATCAGGGATTGTGATACCTCCTGCCTCACCTTTGTTGCCAGGATTGCTATTGCTATTCTGGGTCTCTTCTGGTTCCAGATAAATTTTAGGAATGTTTTCTTTAGGTCTGTGAGGTATACCAATGGTATTTTCATTGGAATTGCACTGAATCTGTATAACAACTTTGGGAGGATGGCCATTTTCACAATGTTGGTTCTTCCTATTTAAATGGATGCAACTAGAGATGATACTCATTAGTGAAACAAATCAGATTCACATGTGTAAACATCGTATTTCCTCCCTACTATAAGAACCTGAAAAAGCAAATAAAATATGAAAGGTACAACAGATATTGTGAAAGGGAAAAGAAACTGCTCAAATAGGAAAGAGCAACTAGGGTGAAGGAGGGGAGAGAAAAAAGAAGGAAGAGGGAAAAAATATGTATATATACACACAGGATAGCTGGGATAATTGTACTACTAATATCTGTTGGTTTATTCAAAGGAATTGTTTATGTGCAATTGTTTGATCAATCTTGCCTGCCTGTATCTGGTTATGTGTGCAACTATTTTGAAGATTATACTATGTAATATAACAACCACTGTTAATATCCTATCACCATGTTTCAAAATTCTGTATCATTTTTATCGCTCTCTATGCTGTTCTGTTTATGAATTTGTTTTTGTTAGCTTGGTTTTTTTTTTAAATGAAAAACACAATTT